TTGTTAAAGTTAGGTTTACTTATAAATGGTGTGGATAAAATTTATCTTATAAAATACTTGAAAATATTTTTATAAATCAACCATCGCCATTAACGGTGTAATCTGACAATCACTAATAGGGAGTGATAGTGAAATTTCAAAATCGAAAAGATGTGTCATTGAATTTAGACCTAATTACAGGGATCTGAATAAAATTTTACCTTATATCTATACAAATCTATATAATAAAACACACAGGATGTCGAATTTTATCCTCCCATCTCCCAAAACCATCACATCACTCATTTCTATCGCATGCTCAACCATTTAATATTTGATTAATTTGTAATTTAACATAATTTTTATTTAAATATTATCCATACATGATAGTATAGATCTGTTAAAAAAATTTATCGAATTACATATTTTGAGAAAATTTGTCAATATTTTTAAGAAAATAACGGGTAAAAATAAATTTTGAATGATTTAATCAAACAAATGAAAGAAAAAAAATTTATTTAATATAGTGATATCGATTTTTTAAGACTCAAATTTTTTGATATAATCGATATTGAAATTTTTTTTTTTTATGTTTATGATTTAATTTTAAATATGAATATAAATATATTTTTTATTTTTTATTTTTTATTATTCTATATTTTCAGAAAATATCGAGTTAAGTGTATAACCGTCACCGTAGTATTAAATATTTAGTCACCGCCAGTGTGAGGCGTTGTTTTGGAGTTGTATCCGCGTAAAATGATAGCATCGGGGGGCCAACCGACCGAAATCAACGAAAAGGAATTCCGCAAGACACGCCCTTAGTTTCCTTATTTAATACACGGGATATCAGGCCAGCACTGCTGTGCTGTGTGCCACTTTCCCCTTCTCTCTCTCTCTCTCTTTCTCACACATTCATCTTTTACAGTCCCTCAACTTTCAAACCCTAGTAAATGGCAAGATTAATCTTGCTCTTTGCTCTATGTGTTCTACCGGCGATTGTCAGTGCCCGCTTTGAGGCCAACCCTTTCCTCGTCCGAGGCAAAGTCTACTGTGATACTTGCCGCTGTGGCTTCGAGACCCCTGCCACCAAGTACCTCGCTGGTATTCTTTCATCCTTCCTCTCTCTCTCTCACACACACACACACATTACTAGTTGATAGATGTTGTGATCTGGTAACCTGGCTTGGCTTTTATTAATGGTTTTTGTATAACTTGAAATTCAACCCCCCAAATTTTGTTTATTAAAACAGTTTGTAGTCATCCTAAATACCAAGTTTTTACTGGATAAGCAAAATGTGGTGTGGATTAGTTTTTTACCATGAAGAAGTCTCAAGTTTGATTCCTGCATTCTTGATAGAGAGTCAGTCTGAAACACATCTATTATATGATCATGTGTATAGGTACATTGCGGTATTGTTATGAGTCCAAAGACCCTTTTTTTGCTATAAAATCTAAATATTTGTTCTGGATTTGATGGTAAGGTTGCTCAACCCTGAAATGGGTATCAGGATTTTAGTCACGAAAATAGTTTCTCTTCATGTGGAGTAAGATTACGTATTGACCCTCTCCATATTCCGCAATGGCTAGGCGGTTGCCTTTTTTATTTGATGGACTATGTTCCAGCACTTTTATACATTCTGATCTCATAATTTGGTTGGAAGTGGTGAAGTTAATTGCTAGGATTACTACCACTTTTGTTTAAATGGACAAAGATCTGGTCATTCAACGTGCATTGAAGATCTAATTGGTCCAGGGTGGGTACTATTATTGATTGTTTACTACGAGATTGTGGCTTAGTAGTTCATTTTGCAATACATTTCTGTACAGTTGTAAAGGTTGCCATATGGTCATGTATTTCTTTGTCAGTTTGATCTGAGAACCTAAAATTAGAATATAGTGCCCAAAAATTATTCACTGAATAAGATAGCCTGCTAGACTAATTTATCACTAACGCCATGGTATTTACAAAAATATCAATGCCCACATATTTATGTAGGGAATCCTTGTTAGAAATATCTTTCTGTAAAGTTTTTTCCGAGATAGTCGGAACCAAAGAACAAAAGCAATGTGTGGTAACTGGCGACTTAGTTTCCCATCAATTTCATCTGATCAAGCATCAAATTCTATTCCTTATTCTGAATGGTACCATTACATTGTTCTTGATATGCTATTAATGTTGTTCCATTTTTTTTTCCTTGCAATTGCTTCTTGGTCTTGGTTTTTTGTTCAAAAAGATGTCATGTGAACATGCTACTTTAATAATTACTGTTTTATGATTGTGTTTTTTAGGTGCAAGGGTGAAAATTGAGTGTAGAGACAGGGCCACCCAGGCACTCAAATACAGCATTGAGGGTGTGACTGACTCGACAGGAACATACAAAATTATGGTGAATGCTGACTGCGGCGATGACATTGCTGATGCGATGCTCGTTAGCAGCCCAGATTCAGAGTGTGCTACACCAGACAAAGGACGTGACCGTGCTCGCGTATTCCTCACCCGATACAATGGCATGAACTCCGACACCCGCATCGCCAATGCCATGGGATTTCTGAAGAATGAGCCTTTGGCTAGTTGCACCCAAGTCCTCCAGAAATACCAGGAAACCGATGAATAGAAAATAATTGGTACTAGCCTTTTTCATATATTATTATGTGTTACCAATGCTGGTTGGTGGTACTATTACTTTGGGCTCTTTGGTTTGATGAGTAATGTATGTTCCATTGTGGAGTTCCTTAATTGTGGCCTCAAATTTGCTTATTGCTTGCTATTCTAGCTAGAGGTGCTTGGTTTATTGGTATGAAACTGATTTTTCACCTTTCATTGAGTTCAAACTGGATGGTAAATTAAGATCTCTCTTGATTTCTACTACAAAATGTTACCTTTTGTCCTTGCTATAAACGGTCGTATTGCTGTGACTTTCCTCCAGAATTTCATACCTCCTAGTAGGCATATGAGGCTGGTGTTGATTTGATTTAGAACATCTACCTTGAAGGCAATCCTTCGGAAGATACATTTTCAAATTCATTTCCCGACCATTTCGCATGAAAAGAGACCAAGGTAAAGCAGAGTTGATCACTCACAGCTTTCAATTCATAGAGATCTACATCTATGAATGAGAATATTTCTGAAACTATCAAAAAAAAAAGTAAGTTAGACAAAAAGAAAAGCAACTTGGACAAAAAAAAGAAAAAGAAGTGACTTGGAGAAAAAGAGATGCAGTGGCTTAGACAAAAATAAATTTGGTTGATGACGTTAGGTCAGTCAATCGAATCTTGATTAATATGTAGTCGATCAAACACTACTTGACCAGAAACGAAAGGTTCCTAGGAAGAACCTCATCAGGAACTGATCTTGACCAAAATCTGAAGAGCAATGTTATATAACTTAAATTTGAGATCTAGGATCATTGAATCTACGGGTCTGATTTAAAAAAGTTGATGAGACTCACTCAGTAAATGATCCTCATTCACTTGAATAGGATGGCATTTGGGATGTAAATTTAGATTACATAAGTATTTTTCAAATCCGAATCAATCCAATTTAAAAGGTTCAATTTTTATTGCATCTTAGAATCAAGTCTATACATTTTCGATCTCATCAAGTTTCAAATTTGAATTCATTTACAGAATAACCCACATAGGCAGTCTAGCATGGGGAGTGAATTTTGTATCGTGATTTAAGATGTCTCGGGTTCAACTTTTGTTGGTACTTTCTATGATTTGCAGATAATTGTAGATTTCAGTTTCACTGTGCATGTAGAAGCTTGATCTGCCCTAGCTGAAATGAGAAGCTTCGCTTGACTCATGACACTATATTCAAGATAACTCATTGTGATGAGATTGGAGAGGCTGAAATCAATGCATGTACTCATCAGAAGGGTTATAAGCCCAACTACAGTGTAATGGCAGAGATTATATGGAAATTACCTCTAAAAAAGTCACGGAGGAGAAAGAAAACGATGTAAGATGACTTAGTAAGAATGCACTCTCTAAATAATTATTAAATCAAATTTCGGATTAATACATATTTATTGACTACCTCCATTATGGTGTTGCTAGTAAATATCACTATTTTTGTTTTGAATCTTCTAAATTATTCTCCCAAGAAATTCGAACCCATTTTTTTTTTTTTTTATGATCTTTCAATAAAACGATTCATTTTCATCACAAAAATAGGACATAGAACCCATGTTTGAATTGTGTATAATTGAGTTTGTGTTGATCCTTTTATTAAGCTGGTTTAGCAGACTATCCAATTTTGTTCTTAGATCACCAAGCTTATACTCATTTTCGCTGTTAATTTTATATTTGAATTACAAATAGTATTAATTAAAAATAAGTGTGAGACTCTTCTCACATCTTAAATGTCTTTCTCCACCCCATTTAACTCTTTTATTTTAAATTGTTAAAACCCACTTCATTTATATCTACTCCATTAAGGAATAAACTTACCCCATCTAAAATAAAAAAACATCTTTAGTAAAAAGTTAAAATAGAGAGTAAATTTTCATATAGAACTCTTTATTCTTACTGGTTTAACATTTTATGCTTCATCTTTTTTGAGAATAAATTTAGCTTAATCCTGTCATTTAGCGTCCATCTCGTTTGACACTTCAACCAAATTTGTATAATCTATTGATCAAAACTATTAATTTAATCTTCCTCGTTAGTCCAATTGCACCTAGTTTGTGAGTCACTGTACATGAAACTAAATGTAAGGGGATCATTTGAAACTAAAGAGTTTGATTCCATCAGTAAAAGCCTATCGTCGGGGTGGTTTCTGAACGCTCTTCTTTGAATCCATCCTTTTTTATTAACCAACAAAAAAAAAGTGGGAATCACTCCGCATAAAAAAAAAGTGGAATTCACATTGTTCACTTATATAATTATTGGGCGGTTACACCGGAAATTTACTCAAGAAGTAGGGCCACAATTCGACCCAATCCACGTTAAGTCACATAAGAAAGCGGCAAAGGCCCAAGGGCCGAAAACCACAACAACGTGAACAGACGACGTCGCTCCAACCGCTAGTTTTGGCGGACGCCCTGCCAAAGTTCGTTGTCACCGTTGATGAGATCTCTCACCTGCAGGTTCAAAGAAAAAAAAAAAAGATCTCTCACCTGTAAAACCAGACAGAGTTCGAAAGTTGAAGCTCCGAGGATTTATCTCACCAACCGTGACACTGAACGGCCTGTTAGATCAATTTCTCCGTCGAAGTTTGTCGTAAAATCTCCGATTCAGCATTTCTTTCTAGCTCCGTTTGATCTATTTCTCTCTCATTTTTAGCCTTGAAAGGTAAAATTTCTTCACCCTTTTGCTTCAGACTCTTTTGGGTATTTTTTTGATCTTGATGCTTCAACTAAGTTTGACCCCCTTCAATACTGTGTGGTTTGTTTTAGATTCTTTATATGTTTTTTCAGTTTTTTTATCACATGTATATATTTTTATATATGCAACAATCACCGATTTTTAAGTTTGATACTAGTAAGAATAAATCCTTGGACGTATTTCCATTTAATTGAATGTTCCTATGATAAGTGTGTGTGTGTGGTCAATTGATCATGATCTTATTTGTGAAGTATTTTTCCTGCTGGAAGGAAATAATCATTTACTATTTAACTTGAAAGGTATTTCATGGAAGTGGTAGTGTCTTTCACCTTTGCACTATATCTAAGAATTGAAGGGGTGTACGTGTACTCATGTTTGTTTTCCGGGACAATGGAATTTTGGTTATGATGTATTTGATTGGTTATCAGAATGGCTGCTGCTTTTAACCAAGCAAATGGAACCAATCTTATCCTTCGGTTTTGCAATGGCTTTGCCTCTCATGAGAAATCTGAGATAATTTCACTTCGTTTTGCGAAAGATGTTGCATTGTTAAGAAAAGGGATTTCTGGCTCTCACCAACAAAAATCGTGTTTAATCCGCGCATCGGCTTCTCATTCATCAGCCCTCAACCCAATTCTATGTAATACTGACAATTCTGCAAGTAAGTTGAATTCTTTGTTTGCATTCTTGGTTTCTCTAATAGAGTTATGAATCGTATTGAATGATATATCATGGTTGTTCTCTGAATTTTAAATCTTAAGGCAACACTTACCTTCAGATGAATCTGCTTTAATTTTGGTTCGACATGGAGAGTCTATGTGGAATGAGAAGAATCTATTCACTGGTTGTGTTGATGTGCCACTGACCAACAGAGGTGTAGGAGAAGCAATTGAAGCTGGTAACAGAATTAGCAATATACCTATTGATATTATATACACATCATCATTGATACGTTCTCAGATGACCGCTATGCTTGCCCTGACCCAACACCGCTGCAAGCAGGTACTTCTGCTTAGGTGTTTTTGCAATTTACACTGATTTAAATGGAGACTTGCCTCTACTCACAAAAAATTTAGGGACTTCACATATATAACACTAAATAGCTAAAGGAATTTTCTTCCCATGGTTTTAGTAATTTTTCCCATATTTTACTTTCTTGTAGCAATAGTGTAGTTTGGATGTTTTCATCTGTTTAGCTAGCTGTTTAAAATTATGTACGAAGAGCTGATGCTGTTGCAATTGGTGCCTGCCGATATTATGATTTTTATAACATAAAGCATGTTTTCATCCCCATTGGAAATCCTTTCCAGCCAATAACCGAAATTTTCTTTCTTTTTTTTTTTTTGGGGGGGGCAAGTCCAATCATCGAACTTATTTTGAAGAAACTCGTCTTCACCTTCTAACTGTTTAACCATATTCCCAAGAAAAACACACATGCATTTGACATTTGAAGGTCATGTGGTTCAGACAATCTTGATTTGCATCTTGTAGATTTCAAAGAGAGATACATCCACCCCTTAATTTTTTACTGTAAATTGTTTGTCTCCTCGTATTGAATAGAAGTGGTAATCGTGAATAAAACCATTTGTCGGGTTTGATACTGAACCCAATGTATTGGTTTTTAACCCATTTAAGCTTTTCAGGTGCCTGTAGTCATGCATAATGAGAGTGAACAAGCCAGAATATGGAGTCAAATTTATAGTGAAGACACCAAGAGGCAAACCATTCCAGTTGTTAAAGCATGGCAGCTGAACGAACGAATGTAATGTTGAGTCTAGTTTTGTTCTCCCTGTTACACCTTATACTCATGTTTAATTTCTTGCATTATGGAAATTAAGATAATTTCTGCGACAGGTATGGAGACCTACAGGGTCTTAACAAGCAGGAAACAGCTGAAAGATTTGGGAAGGAGCAAGTCCATAGGTGGCGTCGAAGTTATGATGTTCGTCCACCCAATGGTGAGAGCTTGGAAATGTGCTTGGGAAGAGCCGTTGCCTTCTTTAAAGAGAAAGTAAGCATATTTATATGCTCCTTATTTAGTAAGTGTGATTGCAATATGATGCTTACATCGAAGACACAAGAAAGAATCTATAGGATGTTCTCTGTTAACGGAATGTAAGCTTGTTTTGTAAGCATCTGAATATTGAGAAGTATTATTTTACAGATTGAACCCCAACTACTGACTGGAAAGCATGTCATGGTTGTTGCCCATGCAAATTCGCTGAGGTCAATAATTATGTATCTTGACAAATTAACTTCTCAGGAGGTAAAAAATGGTAATTTTTGGTAGGATTGTTAGTCATGCAAAATTTTCTGCTGTTTCTGTTTTTTCAGCTGGGTAATTTTTGATTTCTTTCTAACAGGTTATTAACTTAGAACTGTCCACTGGGGTGCCAATGCTCTACATATATAAAGAGGGGAATTTCATCAGGAGGGGAAGTCCAGTAGGACCTACAGAAGCTGATGTTTATGCTTATACCATGGTACAAATTTTACTCCGTAATCCCTAATGTTCCCGGTTTACTGTCATTTTTCTAAATTTTCAGCCAGTGTGACATTCTGTGTATAACTCTGTCCAATTCAAGGACAATCATAGTATAAAGTAAGAAAGTAATGTTGACACGAGGTTTAGGTCTTGTCTGCAACGCATTATTGAACCAATTTCTCTATTCAAATATTCATAGCCCCGGTTTTGGTTACCTAAAGGTTATAAGGGAAGCATTATATTGGCTTGAAAATCCTTACACGTCAGCAGAATTTTGACTATTGCACCTTTCTGGAGTAATGCCGTGAATTATCGCTTTAACTCTCTAATCATGGGAATTGATGTCAAGTATGGTGCCTTGATTTTGATTCAGTTTCTAGTGTTCATAATTTGACCAGACATAGGCAGCGTTGCTTGATCTAAAATGAATGAGAATCTAATATGAGCATTTAGACGCAAGGAAACAAAATCAGCATTGAATTTAAAGTACTTTGCACAGATCAAGGGAATCTTAACTGCTTGGGAAAAAAAATTCATGCAAAATTGGATATATGTTCTAACCAAGTTCCACCATTACACCTGTTACTTTGAGTAATATACTAACCCTATATCTTTTTTATTCTTAGTAGGAACAGGTTGCAGCCTATGCTGATAAAAATGGAATGATTTCATTTCTTCTGGACTATGGGCAGTCGCATTTACTTGTCTAGATTTTATATTTTAGGAGTTTTGAAGGGAAAGAACAGGCCAAAAATTGCACAGTATCTTTTTATATATCAAAGGTATGGCATAAAAATATATATGCAAGAAGGGAAGTAAAGGATAAATCTACCCTACCCATGAAACAAGGAAAACTGCAAGTTTGTAGAATATCAGTTTTGTCTTTCGATAGGTGTGTTAGCAAATAAATGTTGACTTCCTTGCTCCTTTAGTAGGTTATACCTTGGACACATATCCTAATTATGCTATTATTTTCTTTCATGTGAATTGTTCTATAATGAGAACTTGAGTAGTGGCATTAAAATAAACATAATATCATCACTCGTATGTATAGTACTGGTGCTCATTTTAATGATTCGCATGCAAAACTGTATCATCTCTGTTCTGGGGAGTTTTGTCAAATTATTGTGCAGTGACATCTAGACCTAAGGTCTAAAAAACTTCAACAGAATTTTATTATTACTGTTTGCCAGAATACTTTTTTGTGCTTTTTGACAACCCACGTAAATGAGCACAAAGCTTTCCTAGAAGGCGAGTAGGGGTCCCAACTGGGTGGGTCACATCTTGATGGAATTATTGTGTGTACAATACTACTGGTTGAAAGTAACTTGAGAGATCTAAGGCATTTTTTAAGTGGACAGCAATGACAAATTACCAATGTAATGCTGCAGTGGAATGAATGTTCTAACCTCTTTACCAGCATGACCTTTTCAATGTTCCATCTAGGAAAGTCGTTTACTTCAAGTTTTTCTTTCAGCAATAACGACCAGTGGACCCATGCAGTATTTTAATTACTGTGTGATATCATACCTTTGTGCAAATTTATCTGGTGTTCTAATCGAATCCTCCAAAAGTTTAAGCAGTGGAAGCAGTTCCTACCTCTTTAATATTCTTCTATATTGTCTTTTCCACCTTATTTTCAAAGTTTTATGTATATCTTTTTTTCAACCTAGTTAGAAATCTGATGACATCTTGGCCGCTATCCAAATTTTCTCTCTCTCTCTGTTTTTTTTTGCAGAGTTTGGCCCTTTATAGACAAAAATTAGACGAAATCCCACACTAAAGTATTTGGAAAGAGGTATGCTCTGTTTACTATTTTGGCTGTTTGCTACCGATTACATCTTGGCTTGTCAGAATTATTTATCAGAATATGATGTTTAGTATTTTGATTTGGTGTATACTTGTTTGCACTCGTATGTATGAGAGTCACATGAATAACTCACTAGAAATGGCGGATTCATGCCCTTATCAAATGGGGATTAAGGCTTGTTGAGTTCACTATATATGAGAATTCGTTACATAACATTTAATTAATGGTCTGAAATTGATCAGAACTTGTTATTTTCATTGAGAAAAATCTGTATCATGGCGAATGGCTTGTTATGACTGTCAATCTAGTCTCTCACCTCTAATCTTTTTCAGGGATTCACTATTACTGACAGGTTTCATCCATGTTTGTTCCTTCTCTGGGACTATAAAGTAAAGATGAAACTCTTGTTCTGAAGCAAGTTCTTGCAATACCACAAGGCACAGTCTACACTGGTGGAACAGCAAAGCCTGGTCCATCTTCACTGTGCTTCATGTGAATTGATCAACAAATTTTTTTGGGTGCTCACTGCTCAATGCTAAGTTTCGTTACCCGGAATCAATTACATGTAAATGTCATGGTTAATTCAAGAAGTTGAGTTTCGTTTTTTGTAGCAAATACAATCACCTTCTCATACTTGATGGTCCTATGTTGAAGATTAAATTGTTTCAGTTATATGGGATGTTGGATTCACTATTTCAGAATTAAGATGCCACTATGACATATGTATGAAGAGCATTTCAATAAATCAGAGAATATAAATTGTTTGGAGTACTCTATTTTTAGTGGATAGTTAACTCCCCTTCACAATGCATAAGCCTTTCTTTCTATTTATGAATATGGTTGGTTCGAACTCGCAACCTTAAACTGAGGAGAGAGACAATGAAATTCAAACTCGTTAGGCCCAATGCAAACCTCCTCTCTAATAACTAGAAGGCTTAAGATTTTGATTATTTACAACTTTTCTCCATTTTTGTGGCTATTTTGGCTACTCTATATGGGGAGATTCTTATCCTTTATTTTATTTATGAACTCCAATATGATGTATCTTGTTCTGCTTTATGTAAATTTCCAATCGTTGCATCTCAAAAAAAAAAAAAAAAATTCTAATTTCGCTTTTTCAAGTGTAAACAATAGTGTGATTACCATGTTTTTATTTTGAAAAGAAAGTCATACTGCCAATAGAAAATTTATTACAACCTAATTCTTCTAAAATTTTATAATAGACAGTAAGAAATACCTAACCCCTTTTTTTTTTTTTTTTTATTTGATTTTAGTAAGTTGAAATGAGTTTGGTTAATAGCTGGATGTAATCATTAAAACGCAAAACCATTTACCACGTTAAATAGCTGCTTATATTTTATATTTTGCTCATAAGGCTAAAAAGTGTAGGAGAATGATGTCAAACAGATAATACCAACCCAGCCAAAAAAAAAAAAAACAGATAATACTAAGACCTTATACGCATATATCCAGATAATACTAAAAAGAATATGGATCCCCTCAAATGGTACGGTTTTGTGGGTCTACCATGACCCCATCTAACTATGTATAAAAAAAAATAATAATTTCATAGCAAGAGGGATTAATAAAATTTTCCCTCTATATTTTCTATTATTTTAGAATTTTTAATAATTAAATTAGAGATGAAATATTTCATGCAGTCCCATTTTCCATGTGTCCCGTATAAACACTTCTCCACCCCCCCCCCCTCCCACTAACTATGTAATATTTATATAAATTTATTTTTTGGCAGATCATCCACCATCAACAAGTAAAAAACTCACTGGTATATAATAGATTTCACTTAAATTTGTGATAAATGATCTATCAAGAAAGAAACTAAAGAGAAAATATATTATCGAGTATCGCACTCGGTCAGGGTAGATAAACTAGTGTCTCTTATACCATTTCTTCCAGCTAGATACATTGTGGGTGAAGAGCTGTGCTAGCAAAAAATTAAGATTAATTATATTGGAGGACCCTAAAGTATAGAGTTGATCTCATTTTGATTCTCAATATTTCAGTTATATCATTTTGGTTGCTGAAATATTGAATATATTTTTATGTCATCTGTCAAACAAACAACATCTAAAGTGTTAACGGTTTTTAATCATAAACTTGTCAAGTAATATTTAAACATGGACAAAAAATAATTTGAGTAACTCTTGATTAAAAATGTGTAATATGGATAGTTCTTGATCAAAATTTAGATCGTTTATGATCAAAATTGTGTAATATAGGTGGCTCTTTGACTAAAATTTGGGTAGCACTTTGACTAAAATTGGGTAAAAATTTGGTCAAGAGTTATCCAATTTTTTTTTTTTTATATTTAAGTATTAGTTGAAAAGTTTATAATAGAAGATGGTTAGTAATCTGGACATTGTCTGTTTGAGGAACCACATAAAAATATATTCAATAATTCAATGATTAAAATAATATAATTAAAATATTAGATATTAAAATGAGAAAAATCCTATATTTTAAGGACCTCTAGTGTAATTAACCAAAAAAATTATGAAATTTGTATTAACTGTTTAAACCTTGACTTGCTAAGTACTTCTCCGCATATGTTGGCGGAAAAATCTGATCTTATTCAACAGAACACAAACATTACAAAAAAAAAAGAATTAAAAAAAAATACAAAAGAAAATTAAAAAATTCCCAAGAACAAAAATTATATGCAAAACTAACAGGAATTTCTTGCTCTTCTGTGTTGAGGTTACACCATTAATTAATGAATGTTGTCACAGGACGGCGTTCCGATTCCGATGATCCAATCGGTATGACTAAGGCCATCAACACCGCCACCAGCAGTCCCACCACCTCTGAAAACTCCGTCAAGAACGATAAGAAAAAGAAGGTATTAATTAATTTGTTATTATTTTCTTCGCAAAAGTCTATTCTTTATCATTATTATCACCTGCATGACCTAAATATTTATATTTATGATTCATTTTTAATATTATGGGATCATGAAGTCTATCATTCCAAAGATTTTTTGTTCCAAGAGAAGAGAAAGTTTAGAAGAGGATTTGTGTCAATCTGATGAAGTTAAACAAGGTTTGTTCATCATCCCTCCTGTCCATATAAAAACTAAAAAAATATATGAATTAAATTACCATTATATTTTCTTGATCATTTTCTATGATTTTATTGCATTGTCTGGGGACACCGAGACAGATTTGGATAGGAATATTATAACAAGGAGGAAAGATTTGTTCGAATCATCTTCCATCATTCGGAAAAGTTTCCCAGGTATTAATGGATCTTATGTATACATGTGTATATATATAACATCATAGAATTGTGTTTGATTAATTTTTTATACTCCATGGCATTGTTCATGTGCATGGCAGTATCATATTGTATAATATCTTGTAAATTTTTAAGCTATATATATTTGGTGAGTCAGCTATGTTAATTGAATCTGTGTATGAATGACCAAGATATCAGCTTGGATTAAATCTGTGTATGTAATGTGAGCAAGCCACGTTACCGATGAAACCCGAAGACTTCATCTTCATTTGTCTGCTTGGCTTGTGTGTTTTTGGTAGCTTACCTAACATGAAGACTAAGTTGTATTTTGATTATTGCTAAGAGATTCATAGTATAATGAAGAAATACATTGAAAGGGTAGTTGTTTTTTTTTTCCTGATATTGATGTTGACCTTTATGGTCTTGACTTTGGAAAAAAACATATATATTATGAGAGTTAGGCCATTGAAAATCAAACAATGGTATTAATTTCTTACTACTCTCAGAAAGGCACAGCAGCTCGGCGATTGAAGGGTTAAATCTATTTAGCTTTGATCAGTCTATGGCTCCGGCTACTGTAATTCGAGACATCCGGTAAGGAATACTGTTGTTATATAAGTCAGATTGAAAAGTTTGTCGATTCTATATATTTGGGTCGTGCCATTTTGTATTAACCAACGATGCACCGGGGAGTTGCAGTATCTTTGTTGCAACATGGAATGTGGGAGGGAAGGCTCCAAACCCTGGACTCAACCTGGAGGATTTCTTGCAGGTGGAGGGCTCTTCAGACTTATATGTCTTAGGGTAAACGATACACAGCTTCTATCATTTAAACTTTTTACTCAAGACCCTCTCACCAACCTAATCTCTTGACTTTGCTTCTGCAAAAAATCCGAAGAGGACTTCAATCGAACAGTTCACTTTTAATCATCCCGGCGATTATCTGTTTATATTGGGCCGGCAATGAAATGTCAATAGTTGTAAAAACCATGGAGCCATTTAAACTCGTAGTGATTATGCATGCAAGTTGAACTAGAGACAACTCGACCATTAAGAAGAGATTCGAAAAACAAATTGCATGAACTTATTGAAGCGTTAAAGGGCTGCTTTCATATTAGCCACATCGCATTTGATTGTAAGAGGATAAAACTTTTAAGGTTCAAATGAGTACCCTTCGGAAATGGCTTTTCGTTTGAGAATTGGCATTCTAAAGCTGCAAATCAAATAGGTTATCGTTGTTATGACCCCCTTATAATCGATGCATGTCATCTCAGAGTTTGCTTCCATGTTCTTTCCATCCAAGTGTCAAAAAAAAAGTTTCAAAGGGATCTGTTCAATTGCTAATTTGTAATTTGCAGTGAAAGCAAAATGAAATAATCCTCCTGAATCTTTCAGGTTTCAAGAAATTGTTCCGTTGAGCGCCGGAAACATTCTGGTGATTGAAGACAATGAACCAGCAGCAAGATGGCTAGCCCTCATAAGCCAGGCACTCAACAAACCACACCATGATTCTTCCATCCATTCTTATGATTCAGGCTCAGTTTCAAAACACTCAAACAATTCAACTGAATCGAAATCCAACTTCTTCCACAAGCCCTCTCTCAAAGTCCTCAGCAAAAATCTGAGGGGAGAAACTTCCCTTCTCAAGGCCTGCAACTGCCCTCTCGACTCCCCGGACTCGATCAGGCACCGGAGACCAAGAAAACTGATGAGTGAATCCTTCAGCTCTCCGATGGAGCGTCATGGTTCTAATATAGATGATCACTTTCTTTCAATTGCAGAGATTGATGATCCACCACCTAACCAGTTGAGTTATAGACTCATAGAAAGTAAACAAATGGTGGGGATTTTCCTTTCTGTTTGGGCTAGAAAAGAACTTGTTCAACATATTGGACATCTCAGAATTTCATCTCTTGGAAGAGGAATCATGGGCTGTCTTGGCAACAAGGTCAGCTGAAAAAGTTACTATGTGCTTATGCTCTTTAATTGAACCACTTACATAGTAATGATGGAGGGTGCAATTAAATTCCCCCCAACCACCATCATAAAAATGAAATCGCTAGAAATTCTGTTAAAAATAAAATTCAATCATTTTTAATATAATACCATGTGAAAATGTTTTGTACACCTTTGTACTACATATTATATTGTTATTTTTCCTCCCTCTACAATAAATCAGTTTCTCTCATTTTCTCTTAGTGTAAGAGTTATGTAAGTTTTTAAAGTTTGTGGAATTAGTGGCAGTAGGTCAAACTACAGGAAATAAATCATCATTATCGATGACTTGGAGCATTATTTTGAAATTGGATTTTGTCTTGTCGACCAATTTTTGTTTATGCATTTTGAGAGGGCTTAATATTTCAGGGTTGTATAGCTATAAGCTTGTCATTGCACCAAACAAGCTTTTGCTTCGTTTGCAGTCACCTAGCTTCTGGGGAGAAGGAAGGAGATGAGCTGAAAAGGAATGCTGATGTTGCTGAGATCCTCAAGAGCACACAGTTTCCCAGGGTCTGCAAGAACCCTAATCGACAAATGCCAGAAAGAATCATTGATCATGAGTAAGTTTTTTGTCCCTACAATTCTCCCTTAGGAACAATTCGTTATGCAGTTTTATATAATACCACAAATAACGACTGAATAAATGTTGTTACAACTCAATTATAGAATCAAATTATGTTTCTAAAAAATCGATTACGAAGCAATTGACACCAAAGTTACAACTTAGAAAAACTGGGATGAATCCTAAAATCTTAATATTGATCCTAATAATTTAGAATTGAACCGAAATGATTGCATTTTTGCAATTGATTCATAATCTCATCCAAGTTTTGGTATGATCCTGATAAACAACCCTTCATTACCATAGTCTTTCCTAGCTCGACAATACGATATATTGACCTACTTCCCCCTCTCCCAAACCCCCACCAGTTTTCATATCTTTGTTGTTGACTTCATCAGTGTATGTTTAAACTTGTAATTAATCCCAATATTGCAGCCGAATAATTTGGCTTGGAGACTTGAATTACCGGGTGTCTTTGAGCTATGAGGAAACAAGGCTTCTGTTGGAGGGTAATGACTGGGACTCCCTCCTAGAAAAGGATCAGGTTTGTATACTATGCTAAAAGAAAACATAGTTTATGAATTGAGAGTGAGTACCCTTTAAACTTAACATTAATTTAAGTTTTTACTTCTAAAGGTTCACTTGAAAATCCCTTTGATCTTGAAGAAATTATTTTTGTTAATTTTATCCTCAAACTTTTGACATGTTACAAACTCAATAAAGATTACTAGTTTTTTTATGAGTGATAAAAGGTAATTTTATCATCAAATTTTTGAAGGAATAATTAATTTAGCCGAATTGAAACTTCTCTAAACATTGGCAAAAAAAAAAGGTTTAAAGAACATAGTAGGAAGCAGAGTAAACTTTGGGGATCAAAAGTGTAATTGATCTTAACTTTATTTCGATTCAAATGCCAACAATACTTGCTGATTAGGTCAACAAAGTGTTCATTCTTTAGATTATGTATTATTCCTTATTCAAATTCTTGAATATTTTGTCTTGATTATTTATTTTAGTAGGTAAGTCAATTCTTCATATTATAAAGTTATACGAAAATTTGCTAGCGGCAATCATTCCTCCATACAAAAAATTAAAATAAACAACTTAGTACACAAGATTCATGTCACCATTTCCATTACTTAAATATGTTATGTATAAGTTACTGTAAAACAATCTTATCGCTCTCATGTTGGAACACATAACTTCAAAGTTATGTGGAGTAATAGTAAATTTTAGGGTTCTCTATTAGTTGTAAACTAACAGGATTTGAATTATTGAGCACAGTTGAATATGGAGAGGGAAGCAGGAAGAGTGTTTAGTGGATGGAGTGAAGGAAGAATCTTCTTTGCCCCGACTTACAAGTACACCCACAACTCAGACTCCTATGCCGGAGAGACAGTCAAGTCCAAGAAGAAAAGGCGAACTCCTGCATGGTCTCTCTCTCTCTCACATCTTAATTATTTAGGCCACATTTATTTCACCTACTTTGATTTTAATTTTTCTAATTGTGATACTTTAGTCCCTACATTTTAATTTATATCTAAGTGGTCATAATGATTATGGAGATTGAAATAGATAATCGAGAATGACGCGTATTTTTTAATTAAATACATTTTCGATCCGTAAAGTATCTAAAAATATAAGTTCAGTCTCTATATTATGAATTTTATTAGTAAATTTTGAAAGGACGTACATTATTTTATGTGAGTCAAATTAAGTAAATCAGGTATGCAGCTCATAAGATTCGATTTAAAGTGATATTTCAAGCATACTAGGTACATGATATTTTCAGTTACTAATTTAAACAGTAATTATCGACTGGAATATTTAGATATGAACTGAAAACTTTAAAAACTAAAATGACATAATTGAAACAATAAACATTAAAAAATGAGACGGAAAGTATACTTTAGACACCATTCCTATATTTTACAGAATATTATGGCGTGGCAATGTCATTGAACGTATATTTGAGAAATTATTACTATATTTTGCCCTTATTTTTTGTTATCGAATAATTTTCAGGTGTGACAGGATATTATGGCGTGGCAGTGGCATTGAACAACTATCTTATATACGAGGAGAATCAAGATTTTCAGATCACAGACCAGTGTGTGGTGTGTTTGCAGTGGAGGTGGAGACGAAGAACAAAGCCACCAAGTTTAGGAAGGGTTTCTCTTGCCCCGCCACCGCAATGGACTACGAAAATTTCATACCACAAAGACATAGCTTTTATGAGTTTTGATTAAATCCTCAAAAATCTTAAGAGGAAAAAAAAGAAAGAGCCTCTTGTGTCATCTCTCAACAATAATCTTTCACTCTCTCCTATTTTTTCTTTTTTCATAAATAATGCTCAATATATTATAAATATATAACCAATTATCTGATACAGGGTGTTAGTTGAGTCCTAATCGTGTCATGTTTAGGTTAGATCGTTTTGAGTTTGTATGCATGTTTGAGTCGTATTATTTTGGGCTGGAATTATGTTTGTCTAATTTGCCAATGGGTCTGTCTTTCTATCGACCATTCCACCACACATAATTTTTCCAAAGAAATAAAATTTTATTAAAGTAATTTAATTTCATAGTAATTCAAATAATACAAGACCAAGATTTAAAGAAATTAAAATAAAAGACAGTATGTTTTATGCTTACAATACGATATAAAGGAGTCTATCGTGAAAAAATTGGGGTTTTCATTTTGACATTGTCTCAGCCAAATAATCATTCACATTAACAATTATTCGCGAATGAGTTATCACTTTATCCACATGTTATTGTTGAGTTATTATTTGACAGTTATATCACGTGTCAATGTTGATGTGGAGTAACCATTGCAATGAATATTTTCTCCTCATTACGGACCACCATATTAAGCAACAAAATTTGTATCAACCAGTCTCAAAAATTAACGGTCTCATTATGGTCGTTATGATTGGGAACTTTTTGGGTATAAAATATAAATCACATTTTAAAAAAAAAATTATTTCTACTACAAACGTTTCCAAAATGAAAAATGGTAAGTGTCACTCTATTTTAGCTACTTTAAAAATAAGTTAAGTTGCAACTTGAACTAGTGGTCTAATAGTAAGTCATACACGTTTAAGATTGTCATTAACTTTCATGTGGTTATCAAGTTGGGTTAGTTATTTGGCTTTAGTGGTATTGTAGTGATGGTTGCCCATCTGGGTTAGTTATGGTTCAAACTAAACATTCTACAGTAGGAGATTCTTATAGTCAAATTCAGAGGGAGTTATCCCCACTATAAAATGTCCGATTTTAATCATAATTATTAACTTGAAAGGACAATTCGTCATCACAGTACCACTAAAGTAAAACAACAAATTCCGTTACTCCTATAAATTGAATTCTGTTTGATAATCACAAAAGAGTCAATGACAATTCTAAACGAACACAACTTACCATTCGACCACTTACTCATGTGTTACTAAGAATATAGCTCATGTGGTATGATAGAATATATTAGGTGAAGTGAAGTTGTCATGATCTGCCTACCATTAGGAAATAAAGTGTCTAGCATAGTGTAAGTAGCATCAGTGAGGCCACCCATGACTCAACTACTAAATTGGTACTTTTAACATTCTTTAGGAATGAGTCGAAGTCTCACCGTGTAAAAGGAACCTTATAAATGTGACCTTGGTGTTCTGTCAGTGTCGACAATTGTTATGCCATTATGAGAGTGCTCGAAGCTTCTTCCACACTATGGATTTTGGGAGACTATTAAACGTAGCGCACGAAACTTTCATTACTATGGAATTTACGCATAGGCACTCCTTGCATGTTATTTTGATATTTAATCGAAATTGTTTGTTTCTTTTTGTATTAAGCCAATATGTTTTTTTGGGTTTAAATTGTTGATTTCATACTCAAATTGAGTTAAAATCTAACTGTATTCGAATGGTTATGCGTTAAATCTTGAACAGAACATTTTTATTCTTTGATAAGTAGTTCTGAAATGTTTTGAATTTATTTTGAGTTCGAAGTCTTTTCTTTTGATTTTGATTATTTATTTCATTGAAAGTTGCAAATTGTATTGTGTGAACTTATAATTTCATGAAATGTCCCCCACCAAATTTAAAATTTAATATTTATAATGACTTATTAAATAACACTATTTAATAAAATTCTGATTTCATCCTAATTTGATCCCTTTTAAGGTAAAACCTGGTTCATTCTTTCGTCTACACACAAGCTACAATGGAATAATTTTTTTTTTTTGTTCAACGATTAGAGGTATTCGAATTAGTTTACGCGCACTTTGACTCCCTTCTTCGATCTGGTCAAAGACAAGTTATTAACGTCGGAACTATGATATTCATGAAAGATAAATCTTTCATGGTCTAACCCCAATAAAATAATCCTACTTATCCAATATAAAATAACGGTCATGGGTGCATGAGCCAGCTTACGTGTACCTCGACTAATTTCCTCTCTCATCCGGTCAAAATTAAGTCATCTACACTGAAATTAGGATATTCACGAGGGAATAAATCCATCATGACTAGCCTCAAAGGATCACCAAAATTCAAATTTAAAACGTCTAAATTTATAACTCATCCATGAACTCCTCCTTAATTACATAAATTTATGCATTGGTTAGGCTAGTCTCAATTATCATTAAAATCTTTTCACACTGCACATTGCAGATATCAAATAGAAACCACTAAAAATGTGTCATGTGGCTGCCACTGGTACTTGCCTCCCAATAGTCCCACCAATCCAGACCAACCTCAAGCATCTAATGCTGAAAGATAATTATTAAAGATTTTCTTCTATAGTAAGTTTGACTTTATAAAAGTCACTTAAATAAACTATTGTTTCCACTAACATGTTTGACATAAATGAGAATCTTCACTTTTTTCTTTTCCCCCTTTTGAGAGAGAAATAAAATGCTTTGACACCCATTAGAAGGTTTCTAAAGAAAAGATAGTGGACTCATTTAATAAATAAATCTATAGGATCGAACTCAATTAAACGCGATACAAATTTACTAAACATAACCTAAAATCAAACATACCCGTAACTATACATAATTATAAATAGATCGCGTGTATCTTTTATCATTCATCATCTAGCGTTGATGGATGCTGAAAGATTTTCTTATTGTAAGTATGACTTTATCAAAGTCACTTCAATATATAGTATTGTTTCCACTAAGATGTTTGACATCCATGAGAGTCGTTAGTTTCTTCTTTTTCCCTTTTTGAAAGAGCAAAGATGCTTTGACACCCATTAGTAGGTCAAGCCAGTAATGTTTTCAATACAAAAGATTGGGTGGGAAAAAACAATCCCTTCGAATATATTTGTTTCTCTATTATTCTCTTCACTAAATCACTCGCCATGTATTAGTAAATGATTTACTAATATAATATACAAACGGACTCACTTGAATTTGCTATAGAAAACCTACCAATAAAAAAGAAAGAAAAATGCATCGGGAGGGAATATCGGAAAAAATGTTGGGATTTCTCACGATTTAAATCCACTAACAAACACACACAATCGAAGAACAAATCAAGAATATAAAGCAATAAGAAACAAAAAAGAACAAGACACAGATTTTACGTGGTTCGGCAATTTGCCTACGTCCACGAAGCTGCAGGGATTTCACTATTGAGAGAGTTGAATACAGAGAGCGGCTGTACATCCACGATTTAACCCTAATCACCAAAACAACAGGGTTTATATGTCCTACGCACTGGGCTGTATAACGGGCCCAAAAAAAAATTTCCTCGGGAGCGTTGCCCCCGAACCCCCACGAGGCTTGTCCATGAGCGCTACGGCTTGGGCCTATCGACCCAAGCCTTCGCTCCATGGACTAAGCCTCAGAAAATTTTCCATTAAAAACCGCACAACATTATTTCGGGTCGGGTCATCATCCGGATCACATATACAAACTAGACTCCATAAAAAAAAACCAACAAAAAAAACACTGGAGTTCCAAAAGGAGAGTACGGTTGACATTCAAGCCACTTAGCATATATTCTCTTATAATTGGAACGTTAATGTCACTATTCCCCCACTCCTCCAGTTAAGTATGATGATGCACAAAAATGGTTTTACACACCACCTGTCAAGTGTAGATAATAAATGCAATGAAATCAATGAAAAAATTGAAGAAGACACAATTTATAGTGGTTCGGTCAATTCGACCTACGTCCACTCTTCAATAGATTCAGTTGCCGGGTATTTTATTGATTCAAAGGTATGGAGAATGGAGATACAAGCTTTGAGAGAGAGAACGGAGAATCAAAGAAAATAGTAATCTCTGGTAGTCGGTTCGTCCTCTCTCTGTCTCTGGTGGGGCGTGATCCTTCTCTCTTCTACCAGATTGGAGCTATTTTATAGCAGCTAAGAGATCATCCTCCTAGAGATCATAACATATCCTCAAGGCTTCTTTATCGCAGCTAAAAAATTATTCTTGGTGGAGATCACGACTTATCCTCAAGTGAAGGAGGAGGTTGGGGAGCTCTTCATGAAACGTGGTCAAAGATAGGACCGTTTCCTTCGGTGGTGCAGATAAGCTTCTCGTGCTCTCCTCTTGGTGACGTGCTAAGCAAGAAGTCTAACCGGCCTTGGACTGTCTTGGACTTGGTGGATTTGGACCGTTTCCTTTGGTGGTGCAGATAAGCTTCCCGTGCTCTCCTCTTGATGACGTGCTAAGCAAGAAGTCTAACCGGTCTCGGACTGTCTTGGGCTTGGTGGAATCAAAATGAGGTTGGGCTCCTCAACTGGGGTTGGACTTTAACACATAAATTAGACTATTTGGGCTTAACCCATCAAAGTACATCTTCTTAGATTGAGACCGAGGTTGACAATGACAAACCCTCCTCTAGCAAGCTAGACATATTGAGAGATCAATCCAGGTTCAATTTATTCCGATAACTTTAACTCAAGTTTTATTCATATTTAAATTTCTGAACTCGGGTTGAACACAAGTCAAGTTTAAAATTAGTTGAAATCGGATTTTATTGTCAAGTAAAATACCTGGAGCCAAAATTTGAGGTACTTTTTTTGTAGTAAAATTGAATTTGATTCTTGAGCTCAAATTTAAATTGAATTTAGCTTCAATTAGGATTATCTCCGGGTTCATTAATTTGGAATGGTTCCGAGAACCCGATATCCCAACCAGAAATTGTTGTAAAGTGGAGATTTGTTTCCACTAAGATGTTTGAATCAACGAGAGCCGTCAGTTTCATCCTGTAATTTTTTCCCTTTTGGGAGAGAAATATGCTTTGACACTCATTAGCTGCTCAGCCTGGAATGTGTTCAAAAGAAAAAAGATGGGTAGGGAAAAAAAACACTAGAGTTTCAAAAGGAGAGTACAGTTGCCATTCAAGCCATTTAGCATATGTTCTCTTATTCTTGGAACGTTAATGTCATTATCCCCTCACTCTTACTCCAAAGTAAATATTCTCGTATTGAGTTTGACAGCCCGCAAATCCGCTTTTATAAAATATTCAAACTCAACTCAAGTTATAAAATACTCAATCCAAGTTCAACACGAATTCGAACAATGGATGTGATATGAATTTACATGTTCTGAAGTCGAGTTCCGGCGCTCTACCACAAGAAACTCGGATTTATGACATGAGATTTGCATTGCAACTATAAGTTGTAAGAGACGTAGGTTAAAACAATTCCTCATTGTAATTACCCATAAAATAAAATAAAAATTATTATATTATTTTGGTGCATTAACTATCTAGGAGTATATATATATATATATATAAGGATAAAAATAATTAAAAAAAATTAATATGTCTCTAATAAAAGCCTTGCGCTAGAAAGACCTATTAGGACTCTTATAAATATGATTTTAAATATGGTAGTATTGTGGGATAGGTTAAACTCTTTATATATATATATATATATATATATATATATATATATATATATATATATATATGTTCATGGTAAAGAATATTAGTAAATAAATAAATGAGTTTTATTATGGATGTTAATTTTGAAGAAGTTTGCCCAAATTAGGTTGGTAGAATTTGATCAATATGTCAAAGGAGAAAGAATAAAAAAAAAAAAAGCGAAAGGAAGTATACTGGTTCGGTTCAGCCGCTGGAAGAAGAAGGCCAAATCCAAAAAAAAAAAATACAGAAAGCTTCCTTTTAGTTTCAATGAGTTTTATTTTGACCCCTTTATTCTTCTAAACATAATTTTAAGTACCTTTTTACTTGGTAATTTGCAAGAACAGAATTCTGGAAAATTTATGGCAAGCTCGAAAACAGAAATTTCGTTTTTTTTTAGGAAATTATACTTTGACCCCAAAAGTTTTAAAAATTATGATTTGACCCCATAACTTTAGAAACTTTTTTCAAATAGTCCACAATACTTCCATACGCTGTTACCTCATATTAGAAAGGATATTTATATGTAAAATATATATTGAGTATATATTAATGAGTAGGAAATATAAAAATTAAATATAAAATCATGAAACGACAAAGTAAGAAAAAATGGATTGATTGTTATATGTTATTTTGAATTAGGTGGTGATTGCATTGAGGTTGAGAAAAAGTGTTTTGAATTGAATTTTGGAAATCAATGTGAGTAGTTTACTACTTCTATTGGGAGAATTTTCTATATTAAACTATGGTTGCGTGTGTGTGAATTTTGATATATATGATATATGTTGATGTTTGGGTTGCAATTAAATATTTTGCAATTGTGAATTGTTATACTTGTAAAGTTTGAAAAATTTTATGGGATGATTTTATATCATTGTTTAAATGTGTTTTGATGATGAAAGATAAATTTTGTGTGTGTTGGGACTAAAACAACAGTTTTAGTGTGCGTGTTGAAATCATGTTTTATGAGAAGGGAACTGAGTTTCCAGGTCTAAATGGTAACGAGATTGTCTATTGGCGTGGTCGGTATAGGGATGTACACATACGGGCCAGTTATCAGGCTAGTGATAACAAAAGAAGGGGTCAATCATCAGGCTAGTGATGACAAGAGATGGGACCAGTTATCAGGCTAGTGGTAACAAACATGATTTGACAAGTGTATCTGAGACTGAATGTGTGTGCGAGTGTTTTGAGATATAAATGTCTTTTATTTTATAAAGTTATTATGATCGTGAGATCATTTTGTTTACATGGTTTTATGAAAGGGATTGAGGTATAATTTATTGTATTTATGTATATAACAAAATTTATTTCTGTGTATATGAAATATGAGATTTATTTTCAAACCTCATTAGAGGTGGTTGCTACTCACGGGTCTTTGTACTCACCCAAATATTTAACATTTTTCAGGTGAGGATCAGGAGGAGGAGTAAGTCCTCGGATAGACAATGGATTAGAAGAATCGAAAATTTATTTTATTGTAGGTTTTCAGGAATAAATATTTTTTATAGTTTTGAGACGAGTATTCGATTGTTTTGAAAACAATGTTGTTTTTGCTTAGAGTAGTTAACCTTATAGATTAATTATTGTTTTAGATGAGTTTAATAATAATGTCGGTGATGTTAGTTTATTTCTCTGGTATTCATTAGGTCGGTGAAAAGGATCACTTTATTATTTGTCTTACGCTGTATTTTGCATTAATTATGCACTGAGATGACTAGTTAAGGCCTCGGTAGCCGGTCCGCTGTTCACCCAATGTGATCCGAAGTGGGGGTGACACTCATTATTGAAATGATATTCTTAGATTGAGATTGAGACAAGAAAGCCCAATTTGTGCCTATAAAATGCTGCACTTGGTCTAATTTTGTATCACACTTGTGTGCAAGCTTTGAAAAGTTTCTTCAGATATGGCCAGTTCTTCTCAAGCCTATGAGAATTATGGAGTGGATTGCCAGTATCTCAATTCTTATATCTCTGGTAATTGTTCTCTCTTTTTTAACTTTCTGATATTGTCTAGCTGCAAAGATAAAACTTTTACTACTTTTTACCCTTTTTATCAAAAACTTCGTCATTTTACTTTTGGTTTCAACTTGTTTCCCAATCTACCTTTTAAATCATGGTTTTGAACCAGCTTTTCTAAGTAAAAGCTTCAATCTTGTAGAAAAAAATTGGTAGAAACGTATTTTGAATCCTCGTTTTCCCATTGAAAAACATGGTTTTAAAAACATAATCTTAAAATCACGGTGGATTGGAAAATAAGTTGAAAACTACTGTAAAGCGATAATAAAGTTGCAAAATCACCATACTTGGAAAGTTGATTCTGAAGAGTAATTAAGCTGCATATTTACTGCAGGCAACGGTAGCATGAACAAACAAAAGCTTGTAGAGCTTCTCTCCGGGAGGAACCAGCAAGAACTAAAGCTTATTCGCCAAACTTATAATGCTCTCTATAACCAAGATATCCTCCATGCTCTGTCTAACATTCGAAGTAACGATGCTTTTGCTGTAAGCATGTTAATTAATCCTGATCAAATTGAATCTCTCTTTTGCACAACTCGGTCGGGTTGGGTGGATCAACCGGGCTGGATATAAGTTATGAAACCTTCGACTCAAATTCAACCCATACCCGGCCCCATGTTAAGATTTTTGAACTCTTGGTTGGTTGAGCGCGGGTTACATAACTCATGTCAAAATTCGGGGGGAGTCTGGATTGAGTTATCGAGTTTATTTTTAGGGTTCAACTCGGATTCTCCGATTTTATTTTTAAGAGTAAACTACGTGTATAACTCTCAAATTCTACCTATACTCCTAACTTTATTTTTTCAATTGAGCCCTTTTGTTTAACTCCGTTTGATTGTGTCACTCAGGTGATTATATGACACAAAAAAAATAAAATGACTCAATTGATATAATTGAAGAGCTCGGGGGCTTAATTGATACAAAAAAAAATTTAGGAACTTAATTGACGTAAGAGTCATAGTTTGAAGGTCATATGTATAGTTTACTCTAACCATTTGTGTCATGTGAGTAGCACATACTTTCCTTTAAAAAATCTAATAGAGGTAGACAAAATAACTCAATTGACACCATTAGAAAGTTTAGGGCTCAATTGGCACATAAAAAAAATCAAGGACTTAATTGACACAAGAATCATAGTTTGAGGGTTATATGTGTAATTTATTTTATTTTTAAATTACATTATTCGGATTGAAATTTTGGGTGGTACTTTCGGATTTGATCCATACAATAAGTTTCAGTCCATGGGTACATAGATAGGGGTATGTTTTACATTAATTGGTTATTAATTAATGTGAATGTGTTTGAATTAATTTACAGAATGTGGTATATCTTCGCATGAGTGAACCACAAGACCGTGATGCTGAGATAGTTAGAGAGGCCCTGTTTGGAGGGAGGGTTAACCTCAACGTTCTCATTGAGGTGGTGTGTACTCGTTCTTCTTCACAGCTCCATTCAATCAAACAAGCCTACCGTGTGCACTATAATTCTCAGATTGAGCAGGATATAGCCCAGAAAATCACTGGTAGCTTCAAAGAGGTATAAATTAATTCGAACGAGATCCATTATATTTAAGTAGATTGCTGGTTGCCCATCAATTCAAGATGAATTATCCAAGGAAATTAAGTGAAAGTGTTTTAGTGAGGATCTAAATCAGAGGATTAAACAAGATCTCATGGACTACCAGTGTGTTCACCATAGCTTACATATGACTTCACTCAAACTTGCTAATTTCATTCAGTATCCTGCTGTTTTTCATTTTGTCATGAGATTTCATTTGAGGAATTTATGAAAGACTTGTCATGAGATTATTCGTGTCTAACGCTAACAAGTCTCGTTTGTGGAAACGATAACACAATTTTTTTCCCCTCTTTTTTTGTGTTCTCAGATTCTTCTTGCAGCTGTTAGATCAAGCCAGAAGTATGCTGGCAGGGTTGACATGAGCATGGCCATGTGTGATGCCAAGACATTGTATGAAGCAATGGAAAGTGGGAGTTCTGTAGATTGGAAGACCATCATGTCCCTTGTAGGTGAAAGAAACAATGAACAAATCAAAGCCATACTTTTCTCCTACAAAGAGCTATATGGCCATGAATTCTCCAAGTTCCTCAAGTGCACCAAATGTGGAAGGTTTGGAAAGGACCTTCGAATCGTAATCAGAGGCATACAGTCCCCAGAAAAGTTCCTGGCGAAGCAATTGAGAGCAGCGCTGCAGAGTGCTGTTGATGCCCGGGAAGTCCTGATTCGAATCGTAGTTACACGAGTGGAAGTAGACATCAGAGACACCAGCAATGTCTTTGCAGCTATAACTGGATGGTCTGTGGGGAACCTTGTGAGAAGGGAATTCAAATCTGCAGGTGGTAGAAACACTAGTTCTAATAAGGCATATGATCAGTTGGTGGGAGAATTCTTGTTGGGACTTCTTAAACATTGTTAAACCAAAATATTCACAGTATGAAATGATTTTGAAAACTTGTTTGAGCCTAATTATCTCATTCCCAAGTCAAGCACCCGGTTACCATGCATGCACTTTATTGTGAATTCCTCCTGCATAATAGTTCAAAAAATGACTTAGTTAAAAAAAACAAATTAGATCTACCCTAGTTGGTCATCCTTGCTTCTCTGAACGAGGAGTTCAAGGAGTCAATCCTCACAGTTGGCAACGACTGATGTCTCATGTTTTCTCCGCTTATTAGAGTTTTGTTGTACCCTTCTTTCAAGTTTCTCTTCACCCAGGTGGGTGTAATCTTCTCTACTATCTCTTATAATATTTTCTATTCAAAAAAATAAATTATAATACATGATTATTCATTGTAAGATTGATCTACAGACTATATATAATCCAAAAAACATGTTGAATCAATAATGTTTGGACGTTGGAGTGTGAGCTAATCTATTATTAGATTTTTCCAATTCTTTAACGAGTTGAATTTTTGGTAGTGTTTGATTGGGAGTTACTCTGCTATTAGATTTATTCACATCTTTTTCATGGAAGAAAAGTGACAATAACAAAGGGTAAAAATTTTATTTTGATCACCTCAAAAATAAAATCATTTTAAAAATGTATCGTAAATATTTCAGAAAACAAAATAAAACTGATAAAAATTTGAGTATTTATTTTTGGAATATTTCATAACATTGATCAAAATAAATGAAAATTTCTTGAAATACATCAAAATATTTTTGAAAACAACTTGAAACGTGTCGAAGTATCGAAATTTTAAGTCAATTATAGATTTATTTCTATCTTTTTAGAAACACAAATATCTTGAAAGTTTTTAAAACGAAATTTTGAATCTTACATCATTGCGAGGTCCTATTGAGCCGTAATGGAGAGGATTGGGGGGGTGGGCGCAATCGGGGTTGGCGGGAAAGAGGCAATTGTTGAAACTCAAAGTTAGATTATAATATTGAAAGAGAGGAAGTGGGTTTAATTCTATTTTGAAAAAGCAAATCCCACATTGAAAAAGTTATAAAATTTTCAAAGGTTTTATATCCGATTAGGTTTTAATAAGGTAAAAAATGAACCATCGAGGACATTGAGAAATTTTTTTTTAGAATGAGATCTTTTTTAATATGTTTTTTTTATTTTTTTTACGACAAATCATATATTGTATATTTAAGTATGACTCATCAAATATAAATATATCCATCACTCATTAACGATCGATGGAGAGATTGTAGATCCATTATTATTGGGTTGCCTAAAGATGGTGAAAAGGAAATTACTTTGGGGTACTTTCAACTGGGGAAGGACATGATTAAAGTTCAAACAGTAATTCTTGATTAGTGTGCCTCCTTCCTTCACTTTTTTTCTTGTTGATAAGAATGAAATTAGAAAAGACAAAAAGGCTTATCAAACCTTTGAAGTCCAAAAGCAAACAAGAAGGAGCCTAAGAGTGAGACCACCCTGAGGGATCCACAGAATGGAGAAGAGACCATGTTGTTCTGGACCAAACCCATCAAAACAAAATAACAGGAAAAGTATCCATGTGCTTTGTTTTCTATTTCTATCAGATGAGGAAACAAAATGAATAGCTTAACAAGAAAATTTTCTATCGGAGGAAAGAGTCAAATGATAATATTTTTGAAAGTTTTTATGGTAATTTTTTAGTACCATACTATAGATTGCAATTCAATCAAGATAAATTTTTATGATAGTTCAGTGGTCAAATTTGTCATCTTATAAGTAAAAAATCTTAAATTTGATATTTTTCACACTCTTTAAAGATCAGGTACCCTTATTTTTTATGGAATATATTCTTAAACTAGTTCAAGTTATGATGTCGGCTTAAAACTTGAGAGAGTAGTTGACGTAAACCTCAAAACCTGTAACCAAAAAAAAAAATTCAATTAAGGTAAGTTGAGATTAAAATTGAACCGATTTCTAATTGCTACTTAGTTTTTAATGCCTTTCCAAATTTTGCCACCTATTGGCTAATAACTTATTATTATTATTTAATCATTTTCATGTGAATAAATAAAAATAATACTGAAATTGCTTGAGAGCCTCCATGACATAGATTTCTATACTATTTTTGAAAAAGAGAAATGTCAATTTTTTTACCATGATTTTGAAAACTATATATATATATTCTCATCCTATCATGGTTTTAACTTATTTTTTAATTTATTATACTTATGAATGTTATGTATCACACGTTTTTCATGTTTGTATTAAAACGTGATTTGCGAGTACGTTTTTATGTTAAAAAAAATTCATCTTACACTTTAATATGATAAATTGAAAATTAGTTAAAAATAAGGATATATAGAAAAAAAATAAAGAACTAAAATAGAAATATAATTGTCAAACAATCTAACATATGGAAAGGATAGTCTACAACTGATTCTGAATTGCCATTAACAATTCCAAAGAAACATTATCAAAATTTAGATCTCAACCCCAAACCTACCATGGTACAAATCTCAACTCATCCGATGGAATTAACTGCTCAAATATATATTTCCCTTTTTTTTTTCCCATCGAAACCCCCATTTGGGTTTGTTGAAGCCAATGTTTATGGGTTTAAGCATTGGGCAAAGTATAGGCCGGGACTGCCGTCCAAGGCCTCAAAATTACATCCAAACATGAGTTTTGTTGGTTTATTGAATTATTTTTTAAAAATTCATCCTATCAAACCCCTTTTTACACATCTACCAAACCCCCTTTTAATCATCGTACTATTTTCCCTATATTTTGCCAACTCAATCGGTGTCTCAAGTTTTGTTTGATAAAATTAAAAGTTAAATACTAAAAATTGAATGTTGTACACGCAATCTTAAGTATAAGTATTAAATTTAAGTTAATAAACACACTTTTAGTGATAGACTAAATTTAATACGAAATTACTAAAGTAAAACTATGTTGCAAAATTATATTTTAAAATTAATTTACAAAACTTCCCTTAATTCCCGAATCTTATTAGTGTGTTATCATTTCATATTTGCTATGGATTCTCGCGAGTATTAAAGTGCATTCAATCCCCTCAATTTCATATCATTTTTTTGTAGTGGGGACTCACTTGAGTGAACATGGGTCCCACATAAATTTGTGGGTTGTATAATTTTATATAGGGAGAGAATGGAAGGAATCTTACTATAATTAGAGAAGCCAACTCTTTCAATATTAATACAAAAGTGTATTTCTACTTGGTAAAGAGTTGTAAATTAAGCCATATTCCTCCATTTTAAAACAAATTGTAGGGCTAACCATTTTTAATCTAAGTATAATTTTTTAGTAATTTGGGTCATAAACGGGGTTACTAGTTATATCTGTTTTTATAAATAAATCAATACAAATTCAATAAATAAATTGTTCAAAAAATTTTGAAATTGTATTTTGTGCATTTTCGAATTGCGATCATGATAAACTTTCATTTGACTTAAAATCTAAATACGTACGACCTTATTATTCAAACCGACGTGAAATTCTAAAATCATGATTGTTTAGCTGATTGTAACGAGGCATAAGCCTGCCTCTAAATTTTTTTTTATGCCTTATGTTTCAAAAACTTTAAATAAATTCTCAAAGACAAGAGTCTGATGGATTGTATCGTAAAGAGAACAATAAAAAAGAAAAGTATAAAATAAATTAAATCTGAAGACGAAACAAGTACTGAACTTAACATTAAACAGAAGCAGTAAAAGATCACTAGAGCGATGATTGCAAGGAAAGTAAAATTGCTTGGGAACAAAAAAAAGTAAAATTGCTCGGGAGTAAGAAATAAGTATATGGTACACTGTCTTTATGAAGAGTTTGTGTGTTTAATCGTGGATCCCTTTTCAGTGGACTAACTTGTGCTATTTTATAGAGATAATCTTCAATCGTGGACCTAAATTTTCTAATCATTATTGTTGATGATGCACAAAATGACTTTGCATATCATCTGTCAAGTGATTGAAAATAAATGCAATAATTTAAAGTAAAGAGAGATGAAAGAGACAAGATTTATAGTAGTTCGGTCAATGTGACTTACGTCTACTCTTGAATGACTTTGGTCGTCGGTACTTTTATTAGCTTAAGGGTAAAGGGAGCAGAGAGTACAAGCTTTGAGAAAGAGAGGAGAGTCGTGCTCAGGTAAGAATGTGATCTTGTCCCCTAAGTGTTGGTAGGACTTACAATTTATAGTCGCCTTCCTAACAGATTTGGGAGATGTATTATCAACTACATAACTATTCTGGTGGAGCTCACAACTTCTCCTTAACGGATTAGGTAGTTGCGGTGCTCTTCATGAGATTCGGTCAAATGATGATATGGGTGTTGACCCCTTCAAAGGGGAAGAAGATAAGGCTCTTTGATGATCCTGCATACTCCAAGGTGGTAGAGGAGGAAGGTTGGGTGCCTGAGGTGGAGACCTGGGCATCTGCCGAGGAGACCTGGGCGCCTGCGGAGGAGAGTTGGGCGCCTACGGATAGCCCTGCATGCTCCTCTACTGATATAACTCATGGAACTTGATGAACTTGATCGGGTGCAAATTTTTTTGAGCTTGGCTAGCTGGACCTCTTGGAGTTGGGCCCTTAGACTTGTAACATGAATTGGGCCATTGGGTTTAACTCATCAATTGTGATCATGGTTTTGTCTCTTGAGATGCATGGACATGCGTTGAATCATTTTCAACTGGTGACTCATAATTCCACATTTTCTTGTTTTTAAGAATTCTAAGAGTCCTGCTCTTCAAACTGTTTTGTCAATCACGAATTCTCATAGATTTCTTTATAACCACTATATCCTTTCCACGTGTCACCTTTTGATATTATTATTTTTGAGTCTAAACAAATTGTGATTCCACAAAAAACAAAAACACTTCACTACCACAAAGAAAGTCTTGTGTTTTAATTCCAAATCTTATTATTGTGTGATCATTTCATATTTTACTATGGATGCTCTGAAGTGTTAATTCTCATTCAATCCCCTCAATTTCATATTATTGTTTGTAGTGGGGACTCACTTGAGTGAACATTCCTTGCGAGAGCTGGAGAAGCGTCTACGGGTAAAGTACCGTATTCATATAACTGCTTGCCACCTATACTCTGTCATCCATTCCAAGTTTAGGAACCTAGGTAATAGTATCCCGATCAAATAGCTGACGAAGGGGATGAGCTGATCAGGAAGTCTATTGGACGCTGTTCAACTAGCTGAGACCCCAATATCCCACTTTCGAACTCCATCCCTCCCTTTCACGGGACCCACATAAATTTGTGGGGGGGGGGGGGTGTATAATTTAATATGAAGAGAGTGGAAGAAATCTTACTATAATTAGAGAAGCTAACTCCTTCAATACTAATGCCAAAGTGTATTCCTACTTGGCAAAGAGTTGTAAATTAAGTCATATTCCTCCATTTTTAAACAAATTGTAGGGCTAACCATTTTTATTCTAATTTGTTAATCTGACACGAAATCAACACAAAATTACTTTATATAAGTATAGTTTTTGAGATTAATAGACCTTTGATCCAATGGTATTTTTTACCTTGTGAAAATTTTACCTTCTTGAGATCAAGGGTTCAAGTCCCTCTTTTCTTCTCCTCTTCCTCTCCCAGCAAAAAAAAAGTATAGTTTTTGAGTAATTTTTGTCTTAAACAGGGTTACTAGTTAGACCCGTTTTATAAATAAATCAATACAAATTTAATAAATAAATTGTTCATAAATTTTTGAAATAGTGGTACCACAAAAGACGACATTGCACAATCCGTTACCAGCCTTAACCAACCATCTCACTGGCTTTGCTCAACGAACAAATTAATTTATCATAGGGAAAGGAATATTCAACCATGTGTTCGTCAAAATAAAAGTTGGGGCCATACAGGCAGTGAGATTCTACTCTAAGAGGAACCCCACTACCCTTTTTTCTTTGTTCAATTTGGTGTTTATCGGTAGGTTTACTCACATTATGATTTTTTTTTTTTTTGATTTGGTCAAAAATAAATTATTCATCTCAAAATTAATATATTCACAAAAGATAAAAATATAATTTTAAATTATTAAATTTTAAATTCAAAATATCTGTATTTACGGCTTTACTTCCAGTCACATCTACACCACCATAGCTGTTTGACACACCAAGTCACAGAGTTCCGTGGCACCCACTACCCATAATTTTCTCGGGAAAAAAAACAGAGAGAAAAGGAAAGAAAAGCCTTTCTCCCAAAAACCGTAATCAAAGGAGCCGTTAGGCCATCCCACGAGAAAAGGTAGGGGCGGTTTTGTCGTCTGCACTTTTTCCCATAAAACCACAAATTCTTATCTGACTATATTGCAATGCCCACTTATTACACTGTATCAAAACGAAGGTTTTTTCTTCGGTTTAATTCTTTCCGAAACAAGAGAAGTCACAAAATAATTACAACAAAAACAATCTAGAGAGGGAATGTTGTGTACTTTTAGAGAGAGAAAATGCAATGGTGGTGAGTCTGATGAGTCATGTAGTTGTCATTTGTGGTGTTTTTGGTTTATTTTGGAAGTCAATTAAAACTGGAATGATAGTAGAGAATCGCCCAGCTCACCCAAGGCTTTTTGCTCGTAGCATATCACCTGTATCAGATTCTCTCTCTCTCTCTCTCTCAATTAATATCTGCAGGGTTTTTTCTCTTTTTAAGCATTTCAGTTTTGCCCTCATGGTCTCCCTGCAAAATTTCTGCTTTAAGGCCCAGAAAAGTTGATTGAATCTTTCATTGATTTTTCCAATCTATTCAGGGTTCCGTTTGTGGGGCTAAAAGATTTTATGATCCACTCAACTACTCCTCTGTCCACTACATTCTCTGTGCTGTCACCTTCTTAGCGTTGATGAAAAACAGAGAAAACAGAGAAGGGGCTTATGTTTTTCGTCTCTGAGCAAAGCTTGAACTCAAGCGTTCCAAAACCAAAAATCTCAACGATTTCTGGCTTTGTTTTCTTCTGATTCTTTTCTCATTTCTCAAAACAAAGATGTGGTCAAGTGGGTTTTTGTTTTCTTGAAGAACACAACTCGTTTGCTTCTAAGAAGGGTTGCTTCGATTTTGCTCTGTTTTCGTCTCCAAGGTTAGGGTTTGAAGAAAAACTTGTATCCGAAGTGGGCTGTGAGTGATTTCGTGAGAAAATGTTGTTAATTTCATGAACTGGGTTGTCCTATTTTGGGTGAAAACATGGGTGTTACAAATTCAAAAGCGGAGAGGAGTGAAGCCCTGAGACTCTGCAGAGAGAGAAAGAGATATATCAAAGCCGCCATTGATTCAAGGTGCGCTTTAGCGGCTGCTCATGTTGCTTATGTTCAATCTCTTAGAAACATTGGCGTTGCTCTTCGTCGATTTGCTGAGGCTGAAGTGTTGATAGAGTCTTCCCTCTCCACTTTCGCCACTGAAATTGACAAAACCCCTTCACACTCTTCTTATCCGTCACCGTCCCCGCCACACATTGCCGGCGTTCCTGACTCGCCGGTGCTCAATGGAAGCCCCCTTTCACCATCTATGACTAGATTGAGCTACATGAAGTCAGGAGGGACTAGTGCTGTGACTTTTAGTGTTAATCCAAGTAGAAATGTTTATGTGGATGACATTGATTCCATGGCATTTCCAATGCCGCCACCACCCCCACCTCCTGAGTCGGGGCCCTCTTGGGATTTCTTCTTTGACCCCACTGATGATTCTGAGAGCTTTAGGTTTGTGGGAAATCTTAATGGTTTCAATATGGGTTTTGATGATGCTACAATGTATAGACAATTTAGTGAAAAACAAGGTGATTTAGATGGAACTAATGAGAATCATGACGAATTAAGAACCCCGGAATCCGAGAATAAGGTGCATAATATGTCCGGCAATTCGGTGCCTCGAGGTGATGGGGGAGATACATTGGTAGCATACAATGCACATTCAGTTAAACCTCATGGGATTGAATGCAGTACACAGCAAGCAGATGATAGTGAAAGGAAAGGTGTAAACAAACAAGGAAGTGCAAATGCGTTGGTTGGAACTTCGACGGGTAAAGCTGCTTTGGAACAAGCTAGTTCAAAGACAGATAAGTCTGTGGTGGACAAAGATATATGTGCAGAAAGAGAGGATCCTTCAGAGTTCATAACCCATAGGGCTAAAGACTTTCTCTCTAGCATAAAGGACATTGAGCACCGTTTCTTTAGATCATCTGAATCTGGTAAGGAGGTCTCCAGAATGCTTGAGTCAAACAAAATCCGAGTTGGATATATTGAGGCAAAAGGTAATCTTTCCTGCTTAACATGGGAAGATTTGTTTCACCAATCTAACATGATGAATTGCATGTTTTATTTTTCATTTTATCTTATAAGATATGAATACAAATGGCATTTATAGGCAAAAGATTTTATAATCCTAAATTTCCCACTTGGAAACTTACTGAACAACTATTATGTAGGGAGATCAGTGTCAGCTTTTTCAGCGGCATGCCACCTTGTTTGTTGCCAAGGAAAAACTGGACTTGTTTCTCATGGTAAGTCTATATCTTCTATATGAGTGCAGCCAGTCACCAATTAACACCCCTATGTAGTCTTGGGAGGCTTTCGGGTATATATTTACGTCCTTCCTGTTGCAAAGGTTATCAATTTCTGTGCCTATAATCACCTATCGGACAATTTCTTGTGTTACTTATTGCCATGAACACGAAATTTTGGCTGCATTGCCATTTTTTCAAGCAAAGGAAAAAAGAGCACAATTCCTTTCAGATATAAGTTTGTGTTTAACGAGAATTAATTTGGTCCTGGGGCTAATTCTTTAGATGTTGCTTGTTTGATCTATCACTGCATGACATAAAGCAAACCAAGGGGAAGGACCCTTTCAACTATCAGTAGCTTTGTTAGTACTTGTCATTGTGGACAACTTGATCAACGGGCTGATTGGGCAAGGTGTTCCCTCTTTGTTTAGGATTTTCTAATTCTCATAATTTGTGCAGAACCTTCAGAAAACATGACAAAGGTTATCACTTGGAAGCGGTCAGCATCTTCGCAGTCATCATCATCAAGGAATCCTCTCGCTACAGCATCAAAAGATGACAATGATGACAGCGGAAGTGATTTTGTTGAAGAGTTTTGCATGATTGCCGGAAGCCACTCCTCCAGCCTGGACAGATTGTATGCGTGGGAGAGGAAACTCTACGATGAAGTGAAGGTACTTAGTTGAACACTGTTGTGACCACAAAATTCGAATGTCTTGTTCATTCTCTTCATTAACTGTGATCTTAAGGCACATGTACTGTGGGGGGATGCTCTTTGGGCTGATCTATAATTTGCAATTCCCATCATTTGGGGGATACACCTACTTTCCTATTTGCATCCAGGCTCATCTTAGTAGTACAAGTCATCCAGGACTCACAGTATTTTTCATTACAAATCTCATCATTTGGAACATCAATGTTGTCATATCACTTCATTTCCATTTAGAAGTTTATCATGGTAATGTTTGTTCATAGTATACTGGCTTCCCATATAATATACGATGAACGATGTTCTACATTTACTGAAATTACTTATCTAGTCTTTGAATTTAGAGGACATATAAATCCATAGGAGACTTAATTGGATGGTATTTTCAGAAGGAACATTATTGTTATGTTGCATGTTCTTGTTTTGGCTATATGTTGCAAAAGGCGTGGCACTTGGCTGTTTTACGGAGTCTCATCGATGAAGAAGGCTCAAGCTAGATTTGATTTTTAGCATTGACTTAGTATGCAATGTATAATATTTTAGAGCGATTAAGTAAATGAAACTGAGTACAATCACAAAAATTAAAAGGTCAAGTACAAATTGTTAAGAAACTATAAATGTTGAAAAAAGAGACTTGGTGATAAACTTGACTGGTTTCTATCCAATCATTTTGATTTTAACTAGCCAAGGAAATACTAAGTTTTCCCCTTACTAAAGTCCTAGTTTGCGTAGAAGCCTCGTCCTTCTTTGATCAAACCATCAGATTGGACACCTTAAGGAAATATGTCAGGGGTTCCAGGGCCAAAACCCTTACCTGAAAAGCAATCTGTACATTGTTCCTCCTATAAGTCAACCTTGCATAAAAACATGAGTTGTTATTTAAGTAGCCCCTCCTCCTCCGGGTTAGTTAGTAACATGGGCAGGGCCACCCTGGAATTTTTTATTTTTTTTAACTTATATATTTTTGATTTTTTTTAGGTCTATTGAATTGGGGCTCAGTGCAAAAAATAAAAATAAAAATTAGACCAATGTTAAACATATGAAGTCTTGAGCTGGAGCCAAACAAATAAGGCCGATGTCTTAACAAATGGTGATCTTGTTCAAAAATGGTTGAAACCGAAAAAGATGTGGTATATCGACTAATTCACTTACAAGGGACTTTGACGTTGATATTATCAATTGCAACTATCATTGTCGAGTGAACATTTTCACAAATGAAGATTGTGAAAATTAGGTTGCATAATTAAAGGAGTGATCAAGGGATGATAGATAACTTGGTTGACTTGATTGCTTATATAAAAAAAGATATTTTTCAATGGCATTGATGATGAGTTTATCATGCAACGTTTTCAAAGTATGAAAACTTGTCAGGTTCAATTGTAAATGGTTATAATTAGTCCTATTTTTTGTAAAGAGTTATAATTAACCCCATTTTTTGTTGCCTTTTTTTTTTTGCGTAGACTATGTGTACTGATTTTTGGTCTTTTTGTATTCAATGAATTTTTATCCAAATATGATGTTAAAAATTCTTTTTATTTATTGGAGGAAAAAAAAAGTAAATCTTGCTAGATAGAGTTAGAGTTTGCCCAGCCTAAAAAAATTCCTAACTCCGCCGCTAGGTAGTAATCCGTATAAAATTTCAACAATGAATACCTCTTCTTTTGTTCAAGTTATAGTCTGGTGCTAGTGAATGCTGGGCTCCCTACCATACCTAAGGGGCATATTTATTCTTCATTACGTGCATCATCACGTTACGAGGTGGTATGAGTGTAGGCTCTTCCTCTCGGTGGTGGGACAAGTCAGATAATAGGACATGTGCCTTAAGAGTCTAACATGCCAAGACTTTCCAAGGCCGAGGACCAAGATGGATGAGGTCGCGAAAATGAGGTTGAAGTGCCAGATTCATGTACTTGTTTCACATTGTGAGGAGAGCAAAGCTTGTTTGGTAGACTTGCCTTAACCATCAAGACACTTTTAAAAGTCGAGGTAAGCTAAGCGTTCTGCGTACAATATGTTAACAGTGGAGTTGGGATGCACATTAATGTTCCACTTGATTGCGACCTAGAGGGGAGGGAAAAGGACAGAATGTCCCCATTTTCTGGTTTCTTCAATCTACTAAGAAGAAAGAAATACAAGGGATTTTGTCCTGTCTTCTTTGAAACTACATGGACCTCAAGTAAATATATTTCCTGATATGAGGTGGTACTTTCCAAAATCCATTAGCTAGTGCTTATTTGCACCTGATGACGAAATGTTTCTCTATCAATTTTTATGAAGGATGGTTAGCTCCCTTGTTGAGAAAATTTGCCTTGGTCCTGGTGGAGTGTATTCTTACCATTAGCTGATATAATATCTGCCTCATTTTGTTATGCTTAACTTTTTGCTTTTGTAGGCTAGTGAGTCTATCAGGAAGGAATATGATCGGAAGTGTGACCAGCTTAGACACCAATTTGCAAAGGATCTTAGTGCCCAAGTCATTGATAAAACTCGGGCAGTGGTGAAAGATCTGCATTCTCGGATTAGAGTGGCGCTCCATGCTGTTGATTCAATATCGAAGAGGATTGAGAAAATGAGAGATGAAGAGTTGCTGCCACAACTTCTAGAACTTATTCATGGGTGAGATTAATTTTAGATTTTATATTTATTTTAGAAGACATTTTGATCTGCACATCTTATTCTCATTTGATGATTCATAAATCCATGACCAACGGGTTGGATGCAGATTGATTAGGATGTGGAAGGCGATGCTTGAATGCCATCATGCCCAGTACATAACCATCTCCTTAGCATACCATGCAAAAAGCTCGGGAGGAACACCCCAGGAAGATACACAGAGGCAGATTATGGCTCAGCTCCAGGATGAGATAGAATGTTTTGGTTTGAGTTTTGCAGATTGGATCAACAGCCATACATCGTATGTGGAAGCTCTCAACAGTTGGCTACAAAACTGCATCCAGCAACCACGGGAGCGATCCAAGGGCAGAAGGGCATTCTCCCCTCGTCGTGTCATTGCCCCTCAAATTTTTGTTCTCTGTCGTGATTGGTCGGCTGGGATCAAAGCTTTGCCATCTGAGGAGCTTAGTGATGCCATCAAAGCCTTCTTATCTGATCTGCGCCATTCGATTGGGCAACAAACAGAGGAACAGCAGAAGAAACACAGGACACCTAATTCAGGCGACAATGAAGATTTAGATGGTAAAGATGAAGAGAAGAATGATGACGGGTCTTCGAACGTGAGCTGCATACATTCAAGTTTGACAAAGGTTCTTGACAGACTGACCAAGTTCTCTGAGGCTTCGCTGAAAATGTATTTAGATATTCAGCAGAAAAGTGAAACTGCTCGAAGTGCATATTGCAACTACAAGCCACCTAGATCCTTCAGTATATGAGATCGTCAATGTAGTATAATTTCTGATGTTACTGGTTGGAAGTAGATGTTTGTTAACTTCATAATTTTTGCAAGGTTCTATTGTGAAGAAGATATAGAGGAGTTGAGTTTGGTTTTCAATCTTGGTGGTGATTACTTTAGCAAATATGTGTGAGATGAATCTGTTGCAGTATCGCGGAACTTTATTGAGTGAAATGCATGTGACGTGAGATATAATAAGAAGTCTGACTTACAGAACAGAATTTAAGCACACCATTTAATACAGTTATAGACGGAACAGATAGATACAGGACGGGAGATATAATAGGAAGTTGAAAAAGATGATACATTTAGGCTATGATACAAAAAGTTACTAGTCAATTCTAGGACGGTGATTTGTACAACTCAATGATTTGGACAATTCGAGGTCAACTTCTTGGAAAACTAGAGATTTTGGCCGAAATATTGCCAAACTGAGTAATCCTTCTCCTTCATGTCTGATTGGATTTTGGGGATTAGTGCAAATTCGATAAAAACTTTGATCTGAAATCTGCGTTGGTGATGTGTCTGTCTAGTTTATAGTTTATGGTGGCATTTTTCAACAACACCGAGCAAATCACCCAAACTCAACGTAAAATAGCGTGTTATATTTGACTATCTCCTCGTATAAAAATGATATGATCTGTTAATATGAATAAATAAAAATATATTTGATAACGTATTTATTTTTATATTTTTTTTAAAAAAAATAAAATAAAATAAATTTATGTTTTTTTGTGATAAAAATTAAAAATATAAAATATGTTTAGTAATTATTTATATTTAAAAAATTATAAAAATAAAAATAAAAAATATGTTTGATATTATAACAAAAATTCACCGCCAACACCACCACCAACCACCCAGCAGTCAACCACCAGCCACCACCAAACACCCACCACCACCACAACCCCTAAAATTCACCACCCCTCACCCCGAAACAAACCACCACCGAAACCCACCCCCTGAAACCCAGCCCCACCCAGCCCCAGCCCCATCCCAATCGGCGGAAACCGAGCACCACCCCAATCAGCTGAAACCCATAGCCACCATCCCCGAAACCTACAACCACCCAACCACCCCGAAACCACAGACACCATCCCCGAAACCCCAACCCCCAACCCACCCACCCCACCCCCGAAACACCACCACCCAAATCCACTACCACTCTCCAAAATCCTTCACCACCACCAAAATAAAGAAGGTTGAGATAGAGAGAGCGAGGGTGACAGAGGGAGAGGGGGAGATGGCGTCTAGATCCTTCGATGGTGTTTGGGTCCTTCGTCTTCATCTTCAGCAGAGAGAGAGAGACAACAGAGATATGAGAGGTGAAAGAGAGATGATCTTTTATATACTCTACCAAAAATTCATATTTTATTGTTAAGGTAGATTGAAATCCAAACCTCATTTAATCCCTTTCACCATTACGGATTTTTTTTTTTTTTTTTATGTTTTCAAAAACATCATTTTGAATGTTTTCATATTTTAACTTTGTTTGTAAAACAGAACAATTAAAAAAAAACATAAAAGCATTCACCAAACATGTTTTTAATTTTTTTTTTGCCAGAAAATAAAAACAAAGAATTATGAAACACTACCTAAATAATGTTTTATGTGCGGGTGATTTCTTGCACAATGATGAGGTAGCAACACTTTGGGTGGCACTCAACAGTCATTCTTTGGTTTGGGGACGGTACCTGACAACCACAAAAATATGTTAGAAGAGAAGCTGGAGATGTTTTCGACGATTCTCCTCTGATGCTAAAGTCATATTTTGAGAAGGGAAGAAGATACAATGCTAAGTGTTAGGTTCTGAGAGCATACGATTATCTCTTGCCTAAGACTATTATTTATACTTTTATGATAGTTGAGTGTGTCTATCAAGAACATCCATATGACCCCCTTTAACGTGAGGGCTCTTAATTGGCTCACCCTTGAGACAATAGGAATGTTTTTTTGACCTCGTTAGGTAGTTAGGCGTCAAGTAAAGTGTTCTTTTGACCTCGATTCTTGATCCATTGCATGCATGTCTGTCTTATGCATGCTGATGACATTAATCCCTCGCCCTCCGGATCCTCACCGATAATTAGCACTCGCACTGAACATTCATTGTGAGACTTGACATTTGATAACATGTTACAATAGAATAACTTCTCGGCGTCACATCTTGCACCCAAGAGATTAATATTCAGTCTTCTTGCCCCCCTCCCCCCCCCCCCTTGGCATTTAACATTCCTTAATCACTCATCACATGCCCACAAGGAGCATTTATTGAGTTCTCAAGGTCCCTTCTTATAATTGGTTGTGGTGTGCTATTGTACTAAACTTTAATGCCTAGAATAAAAGACTCACGCCTACTGACAGAGAGACACGATTTCTTATAAGACATTCCTTCATTTGTTCTTAGGTGGGCATTTCCACCAATGTAGAGCCATCTAACGACAATTGTCTTTCATTACGTCGACTAATGTGATTGGCGTATAACGTTAATCACCTCTTAGGCTCCTCGGCTAAATCTACATCGATGTTTTGATCTTCTCAACGTTCTTCGGTCTAAACCATGAAGATCCTTTATCAGTGTGTATAACGAATACCGAGGAGATTCTAATGTTCTTTAATTATCACTTATGCACTTGCTGGTAAGGTATACCATGTATTTGTTTTTGATTGGCCTGACAGACCACACCCTGTCATTATACATGAATAACTCTTTTATGACAATAAATACATTTACACTGATCCTTTATCAGTGTGTATAACAAATACCGAGGAGATTCTAATGTTCTTTAATTATCACTTATGCACTTGCCAGTAAGGTATACCATGTATTTGTTTTTGATTGACCTGACAGACCACATCCTGTCATTATACATGAATAACTCTTTTATGAAAATAAATACATTTACCAAATAGTGTGATGAAAAATATATTTTTATTCTATTGTATAAGGTATGTATAACTCTCTTTGCAAAATTAAAGGATACTTTACTTCATTTCTTGCATGTATAGTATATGATAGATCGAATTAGTGTCTCAACATTGTACACGATCAATTCCATGAGTCTATAATTAGAAATAGCTAGTACTCGATATGAGAGTAAAATAATACAATCTCCTCCATTGGGCACCCCTAGGCCTGGTGGGCCTGACCGAACCCAAAATCGGAGATTGACAACCCTGTATAAGTGCCATTGCCGCGCCTAAATTTATTCAAAAATCTGTTTCCCGCCCCAATAGTTGAAGATCCACCTCTCTCTCTCTCTCTCTCTCTCTCCTTCCACTTTCCCTCTAAACAAACACCTCAGAGGATCTCCCATATCTTCCTCCAAGAGGTCAGTGTCCCAATACACTCGTTAGATATTTTCATGCTGTAAAGATCTTTATCATGTAATAATCTTCATTTTACCAACATTTATATATCTGCGTACACGAACACATATGTTTTTTTATTGAATTTGGGTTATCTATGTTATTTGATTTTTTCCATGTTGTAAGATGGGATTTTTGTTTGTGTTTCTGGATCAGGAGGTTCAGAATCTATTAGATTAGTCGGAGCTGTGAAATTGGTTTTGTATTTGTATGCTTTTTTGAAAGTTAATTTCTCACTTTGTTGAGAGGGTCTAATTCCATGAAAGTGAAGCCATGATTCATGGAGAGGAGAATTCGTCCGACGGGTCTTGTAGAATCCGACCTGTTTTAGGAGATGTGACAAATCAATTTGGGAAAAGGGGGTTTTCCACGATTACGGGTAATTTAGGTCTCAAATCTGGAGATAAGTACTGTGGAAATGTTGAAAAGAAAGATGAGGGTTCACAGTTTGTAAAGAAACTATCTCTAGGAGTGGAGTCTTTAGTGAAAGGCAATTGCATAATCAATTGTGTTGATTATGATAAAGAAAGGGGCAAGCAGGGTAGTGTTATGCCAGGACCTTGTAGTGAGATTAAAACCTTAAGTGGAAATGCTATATCTGGTATTTCAAAAATACACAGTGAAATTAGGGAGCCCAGTTTGTCTGATGTCAGTTTGAAACTTGGAAGAGGCATTACTGTTAACCAGAGTACCAAAGAAGTTGGTGGTGTCGTGAGGGACAGTTGTGTCTCTGGAATTTCGATGCCTAAGAGCTCGTGTGATGGTAGCATCCCTGATGCCGATGGAAAATGTGGCACTGATGAAGGAAGACTCAGTATTGACACCACACAGAGTGATAGTCTTCATGAACAATTGACAACTCAAGTTTGTGGCAGTGCTGGCAATGATCTTGGTGTTGATAATTTGGCCTCGAGTCAATCTGGTTCCATTGGGTGCTCAAGATTGCCGGAGTCACAAGAGTCGAAGAATTTTGGCTTAGAGAGATGCACCGGACTAAAGGGTGATGCGTGCTCCAATTTAAGTCCAGCTGATTTGATCAAAACATGCGCTTGTTCCTTTTGCACAAAAGGTAATGGTGAAACTTCAACACACATTGGAATTTACTACTTCAGTTTCAAGATTCCAGGGTTTATTAGTCATAAGCATATGGTATTACTCCTTGTAGAACTTCCTCTTTTTCTTTTTTTGTCATACATATGATCTGTTAACACCTTGATTGTTTTGTGTTGTGGTAATCAGCTGCTTATATTTGGTCAGACCTCCATTACCAGGATATTAAGGGTCGAATAGCTGGTGAGTTACTGCACGTAGTCTATAGTTACTAGCTTGTGTCAATTGGCAGTATTTTTTCATTATAATCTTGATTTCCTAGCATTAAAGAAGAGTCAGAAAGAAGCAAGCATTATGGTTCAAAGAAGTTGCAGGAAACAGGGCAGTGAAAAACCTGGTCAAGGGAACTCCAATGCATTCTCAAAGCTAGAGTCCGATCTCATGGGTCATTGGAGGTCACTCTTTCTTCAGATGGAGGATATTTTTGGCCATGAATGTAGCCAACTTGTAAGTGTAAATCTTGAAACAACTTTTTTTTTTCTCGGTGAATAATTCTCACCATAAGTTGGATATATTGGTATAAGGAATTCATAAAAGCCATAACTACCACTACTTCATGAAGCCTGATACTCATTGACAACAATATGATTCGCTAACACAGCTATTGCATTTGTTTAGTCTCTTCTGGGACATGAAGAAATGTCATTTACTTTTGAGTTGATAATTCTTCAATCCTTGGATTTACCCCTGATTGATTCATGTAATTTTCTGTGGTTTTTCTTTCATATTTCATGTTCCCAATCCCTAATTCTATGCTCAAACATCAATCAGATTGTTTGATACGTTGGTTTTAGGCTATGTCCAAAGCTCCAAGCCATTATGTTTATTGGCAGTTTCAGTAGCTTTTCTATTTGTTTTCCTATTTTATTTTCAAAGATCTCATATGTGGTAAGTTCTTCATATTCTCATTGCAGGAAGCCAGTTTACTGTCACTGAAAGATTTGAGAGAAAACTGCAAGACAGAACTTGAATCCATTAATGCGTTCCCTCCAGATAAACTGTAGCTTGCTTCTGATCCTTTTCATGTTTGTAAGATGTTATTTTGCTCCGATTTTTGGTAATTTGTCTGCTTTTGCTTGTTATAGCACAAAAAATCGAGAGGTCTCTTGAAGTTTATACCAGTTTGACAGATATAACATATCTGCAACAGATGTACCGTTTGATCTTGCTCATTCCAAACAAAACATGTGCACTTAGGATTTTTTTTTTTTTTTCTCTCAGAAAGTAGGATTCTTTATTATTCTGTGTGCTTATATTTTCATTGCATTCATATTGCCAATGGATGATTCTATTGCCTTTAAAGAACTGTGCATTGAATTGTAAGGACATTTGAAATGGAAATCGTTTCTATTTAGTCTGAAAGCCATGTTCTTGCTCACAACTTAAATTGATGATAATTAATATTTTCTGGTGCATACATGATGAATCTTAGAAATTTATTTTTTCTGCACCGGAAAACTATATTCTTGAAGTTTGATTTGAGTAATAGTCATACTCGTCTGAATCAATTTTCTTGATAGAAGACATGACATAAATCATGTTTGCAATTTTTTGTTGCTCAAGTCGGGCCAATCTATTGATCAGTTTGTGGACTGAGGGCACAGGACTTGCAAACGACCATCATTTTTATCCATTGAAAGGGACTAACTAGCAAGAAAATTACCAGGGACAAGCAGGGTAATAGGGGGATTTTCTAAACTCTAGTATTATAAGCCAACTTGTTAGACACATTCATCGGTTCAGAAAATAGAGTCAGGTGTATATCAAGGTTTAGGTCTATCTCTCCTCTTATCTCTAATAAAGACATGCATGTCTTTCCTTTTCTAGTCCCCATGTTTTGTAGGAGTATTGATTCAAGCGAAATTCCTATATACAAAATACTAGTAAGGACATATTTATCAACCTTAGGTACAGGCTGTGTGGAAGAAGCAAGAGGCTAGTTTTTTTCTCCCATTATTCCGTTATGTTGTATAGACATGGATTTGGTGCTGTTAGATTGATATGAAGCACATCCTTCATGCTTGTGAGTCTAAAAGATGAAAATCTGTATGGTAGTCTTGAATTTGTTAATTTTGTTGTTGAATTGCATATTTGTATGCAGAACCTATTGTTTGACAGTGAGATCAACTTTTGCCGACTTATTTCAGTATCCCATAATCAGTGAGTTTCACTGCATTGTCATACTGTTTTACCATTTTTCAGTAGGATCTTCCATGTGCCACCCTCTATAAATTTAGCACTTTGTACATTGATATCATACATCGAGTTTCCCTGCATTGTTATACCATTTTACCATACGTCGATATTATCTACAAATTTAGCATTTTGCGCCATTTCACGTGCCACCCTATTTCCTGTTCCTGTAAATTTATCTTCCATGTGACTTGATTTTAGTGCCCTTTTTTTTTGTTTACTTTTTCTTCCTCTATATTCCTCCAAGCCCATCCCTCTGGTTCTTGTATTTGGCATGTGGGAGATATAAGAATACGAATTCTGAATGTGTATTAACCGATGACTGTCCAACAATCAATTTGGAGTTTTTTGAGTTATATTTTTCCCATTAAACATTACTTCTGTCAATAAAATTTGAGTCAGCTTGTAATTTTGCTTTGAAAGTAGAAGTTGTTTCTCCTAATAGCTTTGTCTTCCTAAACAATACATCTCAGGTTTGAATTGGCGAATCTCTCTTTTCAATTTTCATAGGGGTAAGGTTGTATTCTACTATAAGAGATATTAGTAGAAAATAATGCAATAGAGATGACAAGCTTTGGGTTAGGGATGTAATTTAGGGGAGCCAATCTGAAATCAACTTGGAATATTCGGTATTATGTAAAGATTTTTGGTATTCAGGTAGAGTTATGATTAAAAAAAAAAATTATCCCAATTTTAATCTAAATAGTAGTTGAGTTGGATCTTGGGTATTTGAGATTCAATCCATATTGGTGAATTAAATTTCAATTTTCATCAGAATTGAGTTCGAATTTTGCTACTCCAAATATTCAATCCAAATTTCAGCATGATATGAATAACTTGAGTTTATTGCATGTTTGAATTAAGCATGACAGGTTTATTTTTTAAATGAGTTTAAAAAATTATTCAACTTTGACTTGTTTAGAAAACAATTTGAGTTTAAGTAGTTTGATTATTTTACATATAAAAAAATTGAGTTTTGAGAGTTCGAGTCGAGTCGAGTCTTTAAGCTCATTTTTTTAAATGAGTATATTTTTTTTTTTAAATTTAACTTGTTTGTTAAGTTTGAGTAACTCAATTCGATTATCAGCCTGATTTGAAATTGTCATTGTAATTGGGATAGCATTTGATTTTTGTAAAGTTGTTCACATCATTAATTTTCTCTTAATTTTATGAAATTTATGAATTTAACACCATAAAAAAATAACGAGTCACGTGATTGAGATTCTTCACTTGTTAATTTAAATACTGAAAGACTAAAAAGGTTATGATTATGATTTGGTAAGATTTAAGTTATATATTCAAACAAGTTAAGTTATAATTGAAATTTAAGATTGATCCAAAGTTTTTTTAATCATATATTTTATTTGTTTGACCATTTTAATCATATATTTCATTTGATTGACTACGTCATGCTCTTTTGCCACATTTTCGCCATCTTTATGTCCTTAATTTCTTTTTTTCATATTGTTTAAAGGGACCATTCAAGAGTTAAGTACTTAGTACGTTGCTGCAATTATATGAAAGGTTTGCATGTTATTTAGAATTGATATATACTTCTGGTAAGTTAGGTGCACCGACGTTCCATTCTACCAAAACTATCCATTTCTCTGTGCTAACACCGATTATTAAAAAACTCAATCTGTAATCGATTTAGAATTAGCGAGTTTGTGTTTTACTTGAATAGAGTGAAAATAGTGAATAATCTCAACTATTGAATAAGTATTGAGTTTCAATAAATGTTAGGATCTGTGCGTGTACAATCTTGCACAATATAAACACAAGAATAAATCTCTTCCATGGTGAACACGAGTTCATCAATCAAGTGGTCAATCTTGCTAGTTGGAACAGGTTGTAAGGGTTGGAGGTGGCCTGAGAAATGGTAATGAATAGTTCTTGTGGGTCACCAGATTGGTCCTGTGAGGCTAAGAGAGGTTCCTAGAACAGAGAAAGACAGGTTAGAAGGGCGTCGGAGTGTTTTTCGGCGTATCCCCTCCGACGATCAAGTCAGTTCCTTGATAGAGAAGAAGAAGAAAACAATGTATGATGCTTGAAAAAGGGTTTTTTGCATACCTCATTAATGTGTTTGTGAGGACTATTTATATCTTATAAAACTCATCATTGCTAACAGCGTAGCTAGTAGGTAATCATTCGAGGTGGATAGTGTGCACACTAATTTCTATGAGAAATGTTCTCATTCATAATTGTTCGGGACCCCGAACAACTAATGCTTTCTCCTCAGCCTACCAAGCGTTTAATGACCTTCTCTCAGCAAGAAGGTATTAAATGCCCAGGCATAGGAACATTCATTACATTTCGCTTCTAGGCTTTTATGCATTAAATGTTATCTCATCAAGGGAATGACGCATTAAATGCCTGTTCTCTCAAGTCGTGTGTCAGCGAGGGCATTCTAGTCTTTTTGTATCTGATCTGACACAATATGCCACGTGCCCATCCCCCTTTGGTTGAGCCTTTTGGTTTCTTGTGCCTCCTGACACCATTTGAGTAAGACGAGGTTATGATGGTTAGTCTAGCCTAGCCTAGGCTAGTGATCTGTCCATCAATAGCCCCTGTAGGAGTAGAAACGCCCATGTGGACAGACACACCTCGGTGCCGAGGGACTAGAATGATTAAGACCGACATACCCAAATTGTCGAGGAATATGTGTTGGTCCATGGCGTGTTGGGGATCCTTGGTCCCTGTGAATAGTATCCTCGGGGCAGGGGGTTGTAAACCGACGAAGACGTGTCGGTTCATGGCGTGTTGGGGATCCTTGGTCCCTGTGAATAGTATCTTCTGGACAAGGGGTTATTAATCGACGAAGATGTGTCGGGATCACAGCGGAGAGTCTCCACTGATGCCGAATACATGTGTTGTCATCTGGGAGTGTCTAAAAATGTCTCATCAACTGCCCCCAGCTTTCGATCTTCTAACATCGAGGACACGCGTCGTAAGAAGACGAAAGGTGCTGCAACTGCCCCAACCACCCCATCATTGCTTTCAGCTGTTTTCTGCTGCTTAGGGGGTCGTGCGCATTAAATGCGCCTCTCCGTGCTTTGTGCCCAATGATGGGGACATGTGCTATATAAACGAGCTTTCTCTTTCTTTCCCACACTTTTACCATTTTCGAACTCAGAAAGCTTTTGTCGAAAAACTTCGCTAAAGACCCTCTCGTCACACCGTTTATTAGTTAGTCATCACCGGAGTTTAGACCAACAAACCCCCTCTTGCTTTTGAACCTTCCTCGAGAAAAGAACCACTCTAAGTTCTTCAGAAATCCTCGTTTGCATTCTGGTGAGTCCTTGCGTCCCCTTTTTTTCATCCTTCTTCTGGTTTTTGCTTTTCATTCTTCGGTAACCGAAGGTGTTTCTGTTTTTCATTGTTTGACTAACCCTCAGGAAACCTCTCGGGGTTCCTTGTAGAAAAACTCTTTTTCCTTCCCCTTTTCTTTTTATTTTAATTGGAGATGCCCCAACGCCGCCCTGTGACCGAGGACCTCCAAGCTAGTTTCTCGAAGCCAGGGAAGTACAAAGTGAAGGGAAACCAGCAAATCAATAGGTTTAGGGCCCGATATCACATCCCCCAAAACGTAGGTATAGAAGAGTACGACCCAGTTTTGCATAACCGTAATCTCGAGGCTGAGGATGAGATGCCCTTTTACACCAAAGTAATCATAGAGGGTGGAATTAGGTTCCCTCTGCCTCTTCCAGTTCCTTTCCCATTTCAACCTCTTCCCGGGCAGTGTTGCCTTAATGTCTTTAGGATAATAATGAGGGTCTTAGAGTTTAATAATCGCCTCAGGGTGAACGTTGGGCTCAACGATATCCTTTTTAGCTATTCTCTGTTGAGGGTCATGCCTTAGCAGAACTTCTACCTCAAGGCTAGGGATCCATCTATGTACCTTGTAACTCACCTCCATGATTCGGATAAAGGGTATAAGGACGGCTTTTTGATCTTCAGCGGATCTTGGGAGAAGGGAACTGGTCCCAAGTACGATGGCCTGAG